CCACTTCTAAATTAAGTTTTCTCGATAATTGACTCACTAACCTCGATTAAGAATCGTCTCTCAAATGTACTTGTCATTTAGCAACTGGTTACTACACAAGACCAAAAAAAAAAACATGCATGACTTAAAAAGTGGGTCTAGAGGTATCTGCCATAAAAAAAAGTTGTTTAAAAATAATTCATGATTAATTTCTACGGAGTAACTCTATTTTAATGATGCTTTTTAGGACTTCGTCGTGAGCCGAATCCTATGATCGCACGGAGGCATCCAATAAAAAGTAGGGTGGCACTAGGTGTGGAGAAATTTGGAAAATTCAGGTTTTTGCAGATTCTATGTCATAAGTCGACTCATGCACGACTTATGGTAAGTCGACTTATACAGACTGTTAAGTCGACTTACGTTCTGTTCTCCAGTTGTTGTTTTTCGCTCTGCCAAGTCGACTTATGCAGACTGTTAAGTCGACTTATGACGGGTTTTTTGGAAAGTTAGAGTTCCTATTTGCAGTCTGTTTGGGTTTCTGTTTTGGTATAAATACCAATACGATTTGAGGGTTTTGTAGGTGAAAAATCTGGGGTTTTGGAGCACAGAAAAGAGAGATCTTTCTGAGCTATTTGTTAGGGTTATTGGTTGAGAGATTGAGAGATTTGTTGGTGAGATTAGTTGGTTCGATTGAGCGATTTGTAATCTCAATTTGTACTCTCCTTCTCTATTAGTGAAAACCCACCCCCTTCTTGCCCCGTGGACGTAGGCAATTTGCCGAACCACGTAAAACCTTGGTGTTTGTGTTTTGTTTGGTCTTTCTCTCGGCGTTCGTTGGTTTGGTTTCTCAAAGCATCAGTCACAACAAGTGGTATCAGAGCACGGGCAACGCTTGGGCTATTTGGAGGAGTAGATCGCTTTGGAAGTTCATCTAGGGCTTCGTTTGGTGATAAAGGTGGGATCTTTTTTTGTAAAAATCTCGTCTTTTTCAGTTTGGATCTATTTCTCGTTTGTTTCCGCATTGGTTTGGTGGTGCCTTGAGGATTATGGCCGAGAAAGAAGGAGTTGTGGGCAGTACTTCCGGCGTGAAGACCGTCCAAAGCTTGAATATCCACTCAATGAAGATTGATGTGGAAAAGTTCAATGGCACAAACAATTTTGGACTTTGGCGATGCGAAGTCATGGATGCGCTCAACGCGCAAAATTTGGAAGATACGTTGGAGTTGGACGGGAAACCGGACAACATTGATGAGAAGGTTTGGAAAAAGATGAATCGAACGGCGTGTGGTGTGATTAGGTCTTGTCTCACTCAAGATCTAAAGTATGATGTGATCAATGAGACTTCTGCAAAGAAGATTTGGGAGATCCTTGAGAGCAAGTATTTGACCAAGAGTGTGGAGAATCGCTTGCATTTGAAGAGGAGGCTTTACCGCTTCCAGTTGAAGAAAGGAACCTCCATTGGTGATCACATGAACCACTACACGAAGCTTCTTGCGGATTTGGCGAATGTGGATGTTAAGATTGAAGATGAGGACAAGGCGTTGTTGCTATTGAGTTCCTTGCCTGACGAGGAATATGAGACCTTCGTTCTTACTCTTATTAATGGGAAGGCATCTCTTTCGTATAGTGAGGTCACCGCTGCACTTGTGAATTATCAGCTTCGAAAGAAGGATAAGGAGACTTCGTTTGAGCCGGTAGCGGGGGCGTTGGTCGCAAGAGCAAAGGGTCCAAACCGTAGTGGGAGGTCGCAGTCTAGAGGGGCACATCTTGGAGTTCGTAAGAATCAATGTGCCTTTTGCAAAGAAGATGGACATTGGAAAGCCGATTGCCCAAAGTTAGTTGATCGAGCCGGGAAGAATAAGGGAAAAGCTATTCAAGCTTCAGAGGCGAATGTTGTCAAGGCTAGTGGCAACGATTCAGATTCGGATTCTTCGGGCTACTCGTTATCTGCACTGCCGTCAGTTTGTGTTGCCTACTCTACAGAGTGGATATTGGATTCGGGTGCTACATACCACATTTGCCCTAGGAGGGATTGGTTCTCCAGCTTTCAGGAGTTGGAAAGAGGGGATTTCGTGCTCATGGGGAATGATCACAAATGCTCTATTGGTGGTATTGGTACTGTTCGGATCAGGATGAGTGACGGGGTGATTCGGGAGTTGGTTGGAGTGAGGTTCGTTCCTCAGTTGAAGAAGAACATCATTTCACTTGGAGCTTTGGAGGCAGCTGGCTATAGGGTGACCTTGGCGGATGCACGCTTGAAGGTTACATTTGGGTCCATGATTGTGATGAAGGGCGTCAGAAGAAGAAATTTGTATTATTTGCACGGAAGCACGGTGATTGATAGGGAAATGACGACTTCATCAGATTCGGCTAGACTGTGGCATTGTTTGGTGCTGGGGTATATGATTGGTAATACCGTGCATTGGTTGTTGAGGAGTGCTATGACCTGCAGATTGAAGTCCTGTGAGCACATTAGGATGAGCGAGACCGTGGTGGAGTTTGGCACTTCTATCCATCGAGCGAGGGGTCTTTTTGGAGGTGTTCAGTCAGGCATTTGGGGGCCTTCCAAGGAGGCATCATTGGGAGGTAATCGTATCTTGGTTTCCACAGTTGGTGATTGTTCTAGGCATTATTGGGTCGCGACCAGTTCCCGTTGGTGTAAAGTCCTAGAAGTCAACAACAATTGGAAGAAGTGTATTGGCAGAAAGGTAACTCATTGTTTCAGCTTTGGTAGGGGTCCTTTCTTGCGTTGGTGCCGAGCTCACGGCAATAGGAGACACTTCATTGGTGTGGAGACTTTGGGGCGACGAGATGAGATGACAGTTTCGATGGGTCGTTCCTTTCTGGAGGAGGATCGGCGTTTGATGTCGAGCATTGGCATTGGTGTGCGGGCTTCGACATATTTGGGTCATCTTATGCATAGGTCGCCGACTGCTGCTTTAGGAGTTATTAGATCTGGTGGAGCTGCTTCAGATTTTGGGTCGCGTCGGATATTTGGATACCCAGCATTTGGTCACATCGTGGATGTGAGATTGGATCCGATTGCGCGTTTGGGGTTCGGAGGCTCAGTTGATTATCGTTTGGGAGCTTCTGATTTTGTTCTGAGCAGGTATGTCACTTTTGACTCTCGGCAGGTGGAGAGTGTTGATCAGGTCATTTGGATATCGCAGCAGGTGGAGAGTGATGCTACTCCACGTTGGGTGGAGATTACTCCACATACTCCAGATCATACTGCGTCATTTGGGATTCCAGCTAAGGTGACACAGGTTGGAGATCATTTGGTTTTGGATGCAGATGATGGATTGGTTTTGGATTCAGTTGCAGCTGGTAGATATAGTTTGGATATGGCCATTGGTTTACCTCAGGTGGAGGTGTTTGATTTGTCTCAATTTGGGGTCATTGGGAATACTATCAGTTGCAGATCGTTTGGTGATATTGGAGAAGAGTTGCAGACTTTTCTATTTGATTGAGGGCCTTTGGAGGCCGTTTGGGTGTACTACGTGAAGGCTTGATTCCTTGGGCAAAGGATACGTAGGCAGTCATTTTGATGCAGCCGATTTGGTGAGCGACATCGACATTTGGGGTGAGTGTTCGCACTCCCGTTTGGGTCTCATTATGTGAGGCATTTGCTTGGTTGGTGTCGGCTCGGTTTTGGGAAAACTTCGCCGAGGTGGAGAATTGTGGAGAAATTTGGAAAATTCAGGTTTTTGCAGATTCTGTGTCATAAGTCGACTCATGCACAGGCATAAGTCGACTTATGGTAAGTCGACTTATACAGACTGTTAAGTCGACTTACGTTCTGTTCTCCAGTTGTTGTTTTTCGCTCTGCCAAGTCGACTTATGCAGACTGTTAAGTCGACTTATGACGGGTTTTTTGGAAAGTTAGAGTTCCTATTTGCAGTCTGTTTGGGTTTCTGTTTTGGTATAAATACCAATACGATTTGAGGGTTTTGTAGGTGAAAAATCTGGGGTTTTGGAGCACAGAAAAGAGAGATCTTTCTGAGCTATTTGTTAGGGTTATTGGTTGAGAGATTGAGAGATTTGTTGGTGAGATTAGTTGGTTCGATTGAGCGATTTGTAATCTCAATTTGTACTCTCCTTCTCTATTAGTGAAAACTCACCCCCCCTTCTTGCCCCGTGGACGTAGGCAATTGCCGAACCACGTAAAACTTTGGTGTTTGTGTTTTGTTTGGTCTTTCTCTCGGCGTTTGTTGGTTTGGTTTCTCAAAGCATCATAGTTGGTTGTTTGTTTGGCTTCCGCGCCGTGCACAACACTAGGGGCACACCCCAAACCACATCCCAAATCACACCCTTCTCTCATATGATACAATACACCGGACCTCACATGGGTTTTTAAAATTTTAAAATCTCATGTGAGGCCCGATACACTATAGCATATGAGAAAGAATATGTGATTTGGGATGTGGTTGAGGGTGTGCCCCTATCATTTTCTAAAAAGTAAAACTCGGGGTAGATACGAATCAAATATTGCAAGCTATCACCTTTTTTTTATTTTCATTATTATAAGCACTAACCAACGCTCCTCGCGCGCCAGGCCGACCTCCCTCCTACGCAAATCCAGAAGCAAGCGTGGGCTCGAGCCCATGATTTCCTCGCACGTGTCAACCCCGCTCGTGCCGACCTAAATCCCCGACCCTTATCTAATTTCACTCAACCGCCACCGCGCTGGGCCCCCACGCGAGGCGCCACGTCGCATGCAATACCCCCTCCCACGTATCGCTCCTCCCCCCTAGAGTCCCGTCACCGGCCTTATCCTCACCGACCACCTCCCCCTCTATATAAACCTCACCACCTTCGAGTCTTCAGCTCATCACAAAAACAGCAGGAGACGAGAAAGGATAGAAAGCAAGTAATTTTAATTTTAGAAAAAAAAGCTTGGAAATGGAATCGTACGGAACTAACCCGACCCAGAAGAAGGATGATATGTACGGTGCTCACGGCACCACCGGAGGCGGGCATCATGCCCATGGTGTTACTGGGGATCAGGTGACCACCGGACACGTGACCGGGGCGTTCCCGCCGGTCACCGTGACCAGCTCGTGGGCATGGTGCTAGGTGGGCAGGAGCAGATGATGAGGCCGGAGAAGGAGGAGCACGGCGGCGGTATTCTGCACCGCTCCGGCAGCTCCGGCTCCAGCTCGGTAAGCGTTGGTACCGTGTGCGTGTGCACCGCACGTGCATGCATGCATCTAGATATATGTTTATAGATCTTGATTATTTTATTGCATAATACGTACATTTTCTTCAAGTAAGACTACATTTCGCCGAGCTACTTCTACACTATACCCAAAAGAAGAAGGTTTAGAGCTGATCTTAGCTTTTTTGAAATTTGATGACTCACCAAAAGAGCACACATTTTTTTTAAGTGTCTCGAGTACTTTAGAAAAGAAATTAAAAAGAGTAGTATATATAGTTAGCATTACCCGATCTCTTTAAATGGGTGACAATTGCACCATTTATACTATTAATTAATGTACTACATGCAGGACGATTAGAGCACTTATTATTATACCCTCCGAAATTTCAAGTTACATGTTATAAGAGTAGCAAAATTCTTGCAACTGGGGAAAGAAAATAACTCAGTTGTGTGTAAGGGGCGGTTTGGTTGGCTTTTTTTTGTTTGGGTTTCACTGTCAAAACTGATAAAAGCTGTCAATTTTGACAGCTTACTTGCAAAAACGTTCATTTTGGAGCGTTTTTGTAAGTAAAGCTGTCAAAACTGACAGCTTTTGTCAGTTTTGACAGCTTTACCCAAACAAACAAAAAAGGCCAACCAAACAGCCCCTAAGTACCGTATTTACTATATCTCACGGCATGGATATGTGTTTATGCAGAGTGAGGATGATGGCATGGGAGGACGAAGGAAGAAGGGGCTGAAGGAGAAGATCAAGGAGAAGCTCCCGGGTGACCGCAAGACCGACGAGCACGTGCAGGAGCACGGCACCGCCGCCACCACCGGAGCTCGCGGTAGAGCTGCGACCACGACGACTGCAGGGCAGGAGGAGACAGCAGAGAAGAAGGGGATGATGGAGAAGATCAAGGAGAAGCTCCCCGGCGCCAACCGCTAAGCTCATTATAATTGTCACGCATATATATATAACGTGCGTGATGCTAGTATATGGCTATTGGAAATAAGGCTCCGGCACGTGCTTTCTGTGCACGCGCGTGCTGTAGTTGGTGTGGTTTTGTTGCGCACGCACGTGTCGTGCGTGTGAGGATGCGTGTCTACTGTTGTTGTGGTTTATGTTTTTTGCGGAGTATGTCGTTTATATAGATAATTAAAAAAATATTGGCGTGAGTTTGTGAGTAGTATGAACAGATAGCAACTATAGTCCTTGACAATTTTATTCAACCCGCGCAATATCGAAGCATTAGTTTGAATATTGATTTAAAAATACATCGTTCATGCAACTAACCTGAAAAAGTATACCGAGTTAAACCCAAAATATATATAACAACATACACCACATATCAAACTGTTTAAATACATAAAATTAAAATCAATTTGCTTATATATTTTAGGTCTAAGATGTGAAATTAGAATTAATAGAACTTTTTTTTTTGGGAAAAACAAGGGTAAAATTTTGAGTTTATGAGAGAAAAATCTATATACAATTTGCAATCACGCGATATTATTGTGGAAAAAGGCAACGAAACAATAGTTTAAGATATATATTTTTAAAATTTGACCACATACCCAATTAATTAGAACAAAAATACGTTAAGTTATAATAATATAGTTACTTATACCATATACAAAACTGCAAAAATACAAAATAAAGGGTAAAATTTTGAGTTCATGAGAGAAAAATCTATATACAATTTGCAATCATGCGATATTATTGCGGAAAAAGGCAACGAAACAATAGTTTAAGATATATATTTTTAAAATTTGACCACGTACCCAATTAATTAGAACAAAAATATATTGAGTTATAACAATATAGTTACTTATACCATATACAAAACTGCTGAAATACAAAATATGCTTAAAATTAATTTTATGTAGCATTTTAAATGTAAGAGCAATTTTACAAGTGAGTGTGTTTAAACGTAAAATGAGGTAAAACTTTGGATTTATAAAGAAATTATCCTTGCAAGTGTGAACGTTTAAAAATAAATTGCGATAAAACTTGTTTTATAGGCAAAAGATTCTTTGAAAGCGGATGAGCTCAAAAAAATAAGTTAGGGTCACACTTTTGGTATAGATAAAAAAACCTTAAAAAATATCTATAAGCGGGTGGGCTCAAAAATAAGATGGGTAAAGCTTTGGGTTTAGAGGCAACCTGGAAGTGGGTATACAAAAAGAGCTTTGCTACAGAGACTCAAAATATGGGACCAATAGAGGGGACAAGTAAGATGTCTCCCTCCTATTGGATAATGAGTTGGTCATCATTAATGATGGCCAACTCATTATCCAATAGGAGGGAGACACCTCACTTGTCCCCTCTATTGGTCCTATATTTTGGGTCCTTGAGGAAATAATCAGCATGAAACTTCGGGTTTATGGGAATAAAAGGGGCCCCTCAAGTGATTAAATACTAGTTCCAGTGAGGCAATTAATACTATTTGTCAAGTGTTCTCATAGCTTTATTATATGCAAAATGGCCAGATTAGCATATTTTTTCGAGGCTTGGTGACATGTTGGTATATTTTCTTTTAGTTTTGTCAGATTGGTATATTTTTTTCAACTCCGGCGTCATATAGGTTTTAAATTTGGCCGGAGTTACTGTTTCGACCCGCGCTGATGGGATTTTTTGCAAAAAAACCCTCATCAAATACAATTTCCTGCTCTTAACCCCCTTTCCCTCCTCCTCTTCATGCTCTTCAACCTCCCCCTCTCCCTCCTCCTCCTAATCCTCTTCAACCTCCTCCTCTCCCTCCATGTCTTCATTCTCATCTCAACTCCCCCAACCCAAAAATCCGCTTCTCTTCAACGCCCCCCCCCCCCCCCTCGCCCCCTCGCTCACCTCGCATGTCGTTCGATGCTCGAGTGAATTGCACACGAAGGCGGCCGAAGAGATAGGGGTCGGGGGTTTGCCATTGGAGGCGGTGGGTCAAGGGGTCTGGTTCCACGTTGTGCAGCAGGTTTTCATTAGAATTGAAATTGCCGCATTTAAAGCATCGCTGCTATATAGCAAGGAGAGACATGCAGTTATGGCATTTACTACAGTCAATACAGCAATGAATGGAAAAAGAGGTGAGATAAAAATAGTTATTAAAACATTTATTAGCATCTAGTTTTCTATTATACATGAATTCGGTCCTAGCAAACTGTTATTGCTGTAATGATACATAACTATATGTCAATTGCCTAGTTATTCAAACTATTAAAGTAAATTTAGACTACTTCTACATCTTAGACCAAAATTTCAGTTAAAGAGAGACAAGATAAAAGCATTGACAGAAATGCAAGGTGCCGCTCCCACAAAAGCACTTTTGTTCTCAAATCATTCAACATACTTCACTAGTTACCTCAGCTTGCAATCAGCTATCATATAAGCATTGGAAGATGTAAGTATGGCTCAGCGCCCTATTCCATCTTGAAATATGCTATATTCTTAGCAATATCCCTGTCATGTCTAGGTAATGTTTTCCTCCATCTTGAGTCAGCCCAAATATAACGTCAATCCGTATTGATCCAAACTCACAACATTGTCTATTATATTATAATTTTTTATATAGATTTTATTCAGCTATGTAGGGTGTGTTCATGACATTGCAATAAAATTAATAGATGAACGTCCATGTCTGAGAAAGTGTTGGTTTTTTTATTCGATGATTAAAAACATCAAGCAAAAATTAAATTATAGCATTTAGAAGAATATCAACGGCCAGGTTATGCATTCTTAGGCTTATTATGATTAACTACTACTAATATCATCCATAAGACCCCTTGACCCGCCGCCTCCAATGGCAGGCCCTCGACCCCCATTTCTTCGTCTCCCCCCGCCGCCTCCAATGGCAGGCCCTCGACCCCCATTTCTTCGTCCCTCCCTCATCTCTTTGGCCGCCTTGTGTGCCCACGAGCATCGAACGGCATGGAGGGAGAGGGGGAGGTTGAAGAGAAAGGGATTTTGGGTTGGGGTAGTTGAGATGAGAATTAAGGCATGGATGGAGAGGAGGAGGTTGAAGAGGATGAGGAGGGGGAGTTAGGAGCAGGAAATTATATTTTATGAAGGATTTTTTTGCAAAAAAATCCCATCAACCCTGATCGAAACAGTAACTCCGACCAAATTTAAGGCCTATATGACGCTGGAGTTAAAAAATATACCAATATGACAAAACTAAAAGAAAATATACCAACATGTCACCAAACCTCGAAAAAATATGCCAATCTGACCATTTTGCCCCTTATTATATATAAAAGCTAACTAGGATGAAATGTCATTGTTCGTCCTAGTTAAATCTAGTATATCTATACTATTTATAAAAGAAAATACTTATATCAAAACTTTTGATTTTTTTTTATTCTTGCAGTTTTTTTATAACTCACAACTATACCACTATTTATAAAACTAATATCCATCACCTCTCATTAACTACTCACCTCCTTATTTCTCAAAATATTTGGTCACTTGACTAGATGTAACAGTCTTCAAACAGAAACGAATATCATTACTGAAATAGATGTAAAGTGTTTTACAAGTGAAAAAAAAGATGGCATACTTATATGGTGGAGTTATAACAACTCTTGAATCCAATATCAGCATCTTACAAGTGCCAACCACTAAGAGAAGCATCAATATTTGATGATCGCTCGCGTTCCTGCTAATCCTTTCCAAAATCGGCGTTGTAGTGAGCAGTGGATTCGAGCTTCTTTGCTTCGTTCAGTTTTCGAACAGCCTGAGACGGTAAATCAGAAATCGTAAACAAAAAAACATCGTACAAACAAACTGTAGAAATGATTCGGGTCATGAAAATTTAACACAGGGTCGTGGTTAATGCCAATTCTCTATCAAGATAATTCAGCATGGATTTTGATCTTAAAAAGATCCATGAGAACCGTGATCATTTGAATGGAAGAAAACTGAAGACAACCAATTCTGCACAATTTATAGAACAATTTGAAATCGCCTAGGCATCACAAAACTAAATGAGATCGGAGAGAAATATAAACAAAAATAGGCAGGCTACAACAACTACGTGGAGGAAGTATTAAACAATTTACGTATGAGTGACGTCTTAAATTCCACCATTGGCAAATAATTATCGTTGAACTCTTGCAAAATATTTTGGGGTCCATTACTGTTGAACCAAAACCAACAAAATTAGGAAAGTGAATATATCAAGTGCTTTTCTTATGTCCTGGAAATCCTGAGGATTTCTGACAGGAGCCTGCACGAGCAAGCTTGCTAGTATGCCCAATAGTATGATGATATTGCTTGCTGATCCATATGAAGGTCCATGCCTCTTAAGAGCCATCTCTTTGCATTTTCTCCAAATCTAAACTAGGTATAGCAAAGGCCCAAATGGAGCCATGCATGGATCTGAGATTTGACAGTATATGTTGAAGGGTAATTGCGAATAGACCCCAGTAGTATCACCGAATTTTGAATAGACCTCATGTACTCCTGACCCAAGTGCGAATACACCTCCTCAGTAATAAACTTTTCGACTCTTTCAAATTTGATGTTTTCTTTTTTCTTTTTTTTCACAAATAAAACTATAGGGGATATTATCCGCTTCCTTAAATCTTTTTAAGGATTTTAAGAGTCCAAAAAATTTACTCAGGGGGTCTGTCCGCACAAATAGATCGGCAGGGCGTCTATTTGCAATTAACCCTATTTCGAACCAAAACTGCACCTAACATTTGGGTCTTTGCCATGACCAGGTAAAGGCAACCATTAGGAGATAGGTTCAAGTGATGGCATACTGGACCACAGATGTAGGTCAAGAGACCCAGTTCCATAAATTGGGCTTCTCTTCCCAAGAAGAACATGCAAATTTATGGAGAGCAAGAACTTATGAATATTTCTTTGTTTAAGCAGTGAATGATAATTCAAATAGAACTTACCTTCATGAAATCCTCATGTATGACATAGTCCCTCTCTGCACGGATTGCAGACATTCCAGCTTCTGTGCAGACATTCCGAAGATCAGCTCCATTAAACCCCTGAAAAGAGGAAAAAGTGGTAAGGTAATGCAAGAACAAAATAACTTATTAAATTATGGAAAATTAAGGTTTCTACTCAAGGAGGATAAAACTTACCTCAGCAAGCTTTACTACTGCTTCGTAGTCTATCTCGCCATGTTTAGCTATACCAGCAGCGTGAATTTTGAGAATCTCCATCCTGGACTGTTCATTTGGTAATGGAATCTCAATCTTCCTGTCTAATCGGCCAGGGCGAAGAAGGGCTGGATCCAAAACATCAGGTCGATTTGTGGCCATAATCATTTTCACCTGATAGAAAAAAGAGAAATTAAGAAGATTGAGGATGACTTGCCATAGTCCAAAAGTACCCGTTGATTTAGCTTATAATGTCGAATACTTTAGACTGAATTGGAAAGATAAATTTACTTGAATTCGCTAAATTTGCAAAATATTAAAAAATAAAAACAAGGAAGCACTCTAGTTAAAAGAGTATCTTAAATTTTAGTTAGTTCAAATCAGAGCACTTGCAGATAGTGCTAGCAAGAATAAGAAAGTGTTCCCATATCTGTATTGTTAAACTACTTTCTGTACTTATCTGTATCCAAAAACAATATGAAATACCAAACACTTTAGAGCAGCGATAAGATATATTTGACCATGGGTTTACTTGGCCTTACTTAAAATTGAATATTACTTCATAAGAAGTTGAAATATTAAGACGAAATTACCTCTCAAAGGCATACTAGCACCTGTTGTTTTACAGACTCCTAGCTAACAATTAATAACCAACTACAACAAACAACCACCACCACCAAGCCTTTATCCCAAATGTTTGGGGTCGGCTACATGGATCTTATTTTTCTATTCCATTCTGTTATGTGTCATCTCTTTCGTTAAGTTAGTCTTAATCATATCCTTCTAAATTGCTTCTAACCAAGTCATTCTAGGTTTACCCCTAGATCTCCTAGCCCCATTAACTCTAATATTTTCGTTTTTCTTAATCGGTGCACTAAGGGGTCTCCGTTGTACATGACCAAACCATCTTAATCTATTCTCTCTCAGTTTATCCTCAATAGGCGTAACCTCTAATTTACTACGAATGCACTCATTTCTTATCCTATCTTTTAATGTATGCCGACAAGACCATCACAACATTCTCATTTCTACAACACTCATTTTATGAACAATTAATAACCAACTGCCAACCCTTAACAACCCCACAAATACCATTCCATCAGACACTATTCGAGATGAAATACAAACTTATATCTTCTTATATAAGATAATTTATGAAATTGAAGACAAAACAAAACTTTACAGAAATGTACACTAACCAAACCAATTTGGAAGATCAGCAGTTCTGTAAGCTGGTTCAAATTTCATTAGAAAGACATTATAACTGACTTTCTATTATAAATGGTTAGTACTAAATGTTTCCATATAAATTGACTGTATGAAGTAAAAAATTTCAAACAAGAAACTAATACTATACCTTTCCTAACTGATCGAACCCGTCCAATTGATTGAGCAGTTCCATTAGTGTTCTCTGAATTTCTCGGTCAGCACTGGTTCCCTCACTAAAACGTCTTCCACCAATGGCATCGATTTCGTCCATGAATATGATGCATGGCTAAAGAAGAAAAGCACTATATTAGAAACAAATCTCATGACAAGTGAAACCAACATTCAGTATAAATAAACTGGCCTAGTGTAAAGAATCTACCAAAGAGTTATGTTAAAGTTATTGTTCAAACGCATCGAATTTGAGGAACGAAACAAGAAAAACATTTTATATGTGTAGGAATAAGAAAAAATTTCAATTTTTTGAAATTTTCATTCTCAAAAACCAAAACAGCAACCAATCGGCAAGTGTCAACCATCTGACTCTTGTATTTCTCAAATTTTTTTAAAATATCATCCTCAAAAACCAAAACAGGAACCAATCGCCAAGTGTCAAACATTCTACTCTTGTATTTCTCATAACAGAGCACACTCAAATACTTCAATTAATCAAGATTGGATATCTACAAAGATTTAAAGTAACGGGAGAAACTGAAAATTAACAAGTTATGAGTTCATACTTGGTGATCACGGGCATAGCCAAACATCTCCCTTATCAACCGTGCACTTTCACCAATATATTTGTCAATAATAGCACTGGATACAACCTGCATGCATGGTTATTAGAAACATATCAACTTACATATAAACAAATAAATCAATTTCCAACACCAAATAACGATGCTTCACCTTGAGAAAGTTGGCATCTATATTACTAGCAATTGCTCTCGCTAATAATGTCTTCCCTGTTCCAGGAGGACCATAAAGGAGCACACCCTGCCGTCATAAAAATACTTTATTGTAAATCCATTTTACTGCATAAATCATGCAAGTTTCAAACTTAGCTTTCTAAGAAAGAGATACAGGTGCTAACAACAAGCACCTGCACAAGAGGAAAAGTTGATTCCTCAAAGAATGGGATGCTACCTTCGGAGGTTTGATTCCTACTCGAAGGAAAAGTTCAGGATTCATGAGCGGTAGTTCAATGGATTCTCTAAGTTCACGAATCTGATCACCTAATCCACCAACCGCAGAGTAGCTAACATTGCCTGGGTCTTCATGAAGCATATTGTAAACAACAGGATCGACCTGTATCAGAAGATAACACCTTCAGCATATATAGATAGAATGCTCATAATAAATTTTACTATGCTAGTATTGTTAGCAAAAACAATAATCTAAACAGAAAAAATTCAGTACCTCCCGTGGAAGAGCTCGCATGATGGTGAGGGTTGTCATGTCAAGAACCACACGGGTTCCGGCTGTAAGCTTCTCTTTATCAACCTTACTACGGCATCCAACGACATATCTTGGGCCACTGCTAGCTTTTACGATTACTGAAAGCAATAAAAGAACCATCTATTGCAGTTAACCAATAAAAATGATCTTCTGCTTCTAACAGCAAGAATATTTGATCGTCTATATGATACTTTTGAAACCAAGTAATAGCATTACAAGAAAAACATTTAAGCAAATCAATCAATGACAACTATGATGCATATTGCACGTAATATTGTAATAATAAACAGTATATGATTAGTAATTACTTACAGCGTTCATTGTCAAGCGGCCGAAGTACCTCTCCTATTATCTGCCCAACACTTTGGAGGGATTTCAAATCATCTTCAGTTTTTGCAAATTCCTTCTTTGCGGCTCTCAGGTTTTCCCTAACTGCATTAACCATTAAATACATAAACTTTCCAGTAAGTAATGAAGTTAAACCAATGACATAACTGTAAACAATGGACTGCTAGCCTATTAGTAGGTGAAGAAAAAGTGATCAGGAATTTAGTAGACATTCGCTAATTAATAGCATCAAAGATATATGAATAGGCTTCTCCTCTAACACTATGCGTGTGTGTGATAATTGTGACATTGTCCATTCTACTAAAGATTAACGCTTTTAGATACTTCAATACTGAAATCAGAAAGTTGATATAAGTTCTATTAGCATATGAGAAGCAAAACTATCAACAGGATTTACCATATTTCTGCCAAGATCGCCATAATAGAGTACCCTAATTCTTCATCAGGAACAAAATTATCTACAGGACACATGATAATATCATATAAAAAGTGATATACAGATCACATTTGCTAATTAATAGCATATATAAGAATAGGTTTTCTTCTCTAGCACTTACCATGTGTGCGTCTGCAATAATTGTCCATGCTAGTAAAGATTAACGCTTTAGAATATTTCAGTAATTCAATCTTCATCTGAATTATAAAACTTTTATTTAGGCTTTATTATCAGGTAAATTATCTACAGGGTTTATTGTACTTTTTTATCAAGATCGCATGGTACAATGGATAACTACTGCCAATTTACTACCTTGTACAAATTTTACAGGTTGCTTTCCTCCCCAAATTATCTCACCGAACAAAAAACACTAAATTTTTTCTCTTTTTACCAAATCTAAGCAACAAATTCCATCGTTAATATAATATCGCTTCTTACAAAACAACGACAACAATTTCCACTCCAAAGAGAAAACTTTGGATAATAGTCCTAAATCCAAAACCCTAACCGAGATCCCAGCTTCCTCCAATCAGAGAAACCCTAGAAAAACTCAAAACCTAGAAAACTCAAAAGCGGGTCGATCGAAACCTGTACGAACTCTGGATTCGATCTCCTTGTACTGGAGAAGCTTCTTCCTGTACTCTGCCGTCACGTTACGCCGGCGAGCGGCGTCCTCTGCTGCAACTTCGCTCATCGTCTTCTACTTTTTTTTAAAAATAATATTTTCCTAGAGAGACAAAGTGAGAGAGAAGAGGGGAGAGAGAAGGAAAGGGTTATATGCCCATTTACTCTTTGCCGTGCTGTTAAAGAAAACTGGGCCGGGCTTTAAGTTCAACTCACACTCCGACTCAGATTGCACCCAATTGGGCCGATCCAATATGGAGTTAAGATCCAATACGTTTGTTTAGCAAAGTCCAGATACACAGTTCACTTATGTAGGTCTGTTTAATAAAATCGTGAAAGCCCAAACAATTTTCGATATAAGCCCTCAGGTAGAGATCGTTCTACCTTGTAGGGTGTTTGGTTGGGCTTATTTCTATAAGTTTTTAAGCTCTGTTAGCTTTTGTTGGCTTTTGGCTTTTATAATAAAAGTCGTATAATTTTTTTTAAAGTATAAATGTAATTTGTTTAGTCAAACTTAGCTTATTTAGATGAGCTTATAAGCTAGTCTTTTAAAAGCTAGGGTATACTAGCATTTTAATATGAGGCTTTGTAAGCAAACTTGTTTGGTATTATACCAATCAAATAGATATAAAAAAACTAACAAAAAAACTAGTTTGACCAAAAAATAAGCTCCCCATGCACCCTTTTTAGTTGTAGATAAAATATACAATTCACCAATCACTTCTACTTACTCTGTGGACCGCATAAATGATATTAATTATTTAAATTATATAAAGAACGTTTAATTGTGTGTGTATATATATTTTTTTTCTTTGTTTTTTTTGTGGGGTGGGGGCTAATAAAAGCCCATTTTGTGGACTTTCCTCTTTGTGGGGATCATGGTGTGAATAGCATGTATGCAGTACCGGCGGGGGGGGGGGGGGGGGGGGGCTGTAAATATAAAGCCAATAGTATTGATCCACATAGCTAATTGTAGATAGACATTTTCTACAATCAATAATGTAGGGAATCCGGACCCCCATCAGAATTATTTGCATTATAACAACTTTTACACAATAAAATTCAAAATTTTAGATATGCGTAATACATGCTCGTACTCAGATATCATTTCTACCATTCAGTGCAAGTTTAATTGGAGAGCTATAGTAGTAGATCGAAATATCAAAGCACCACATAAATTCACTTTTAATGAGTCTAAATGAGATCCACCGTAGATGACTCGGATGTTTGAGAGGTTCCAATATATCACCCACTGTCTTGTGTTTGAACCTAAATTGTAAAGTTACAGTAGTAGAAAGATCAAAGCACCAGACAATCCATTTCAAAGAGTCTAAATAAGACCCATCACACATTATTATTATTATTTATTTTTTTTGAACTGGAAAAGCAGGAAAAACTTCCTGCTCATTTTATATTTATTTATATCAATAGAACTTACATAGTAGTTACAAACCTAACACACCAAAAGGAGACCAGAAGAAGATGAAACAAAAGAAAGAGAGGAAAAAAAACTGAAAGTCACCAGCCTAGGCTAATTAACTAAGAAGATATTACAACACCAGATAGTAATAAAATCACATTTGGAAGTTTATAAGCCAAAAGAGATGAGAAAGAAGCCACTCCTCAAGAAAACTACTCAAAAGAAAGTCCAAAAGGAGGTTCGTGCCAGCACATGGTCTAATCTGCTGAAAAATTATCTCCCACATCAGCTGCAGCCTTCTTCCTTGCTATTTCATCAAACTGCAGCTTGATTGCAGCCCTTCTGATCCTTCTAGCCAACTTGTCTTCGTGAGCACCTGTCACATGACTCGTACAGTTGGGAGGTTCCAATACCTTCCTGATTCAAATCCTGGTTGAGTTATTTTAAAAAAGGAGCCTAAATGAGACCGTATATTTAAATCATTACACACGTCAATTAAAGACAAATGTACATATTGATCCTAGTATTGAAGTCATCCATATGTTATGACTATTTAGCCAACATACGTGCCATTTTCCAATTTAAAGAGTAGCTTTCAAAGACATCGATCGCGTCAAAGGTAGGCATAAAAGTGTGACTTATTTGCCAATTGACCTTTTTATGCAAGCAATATGTAGCTATAAAGTCATCTTCATTATCCATGCAAATGTTAATAATAATTTCCAGCTATATATAAGATTGACTTCTGGGTAGACGAGCATCATGCAATAGAATCCACCAACACAACCAGGGCGCGGACTTTTTACTTTTCAATGGGCTAATTCATAATGTTATTAATTTCGCTAGTGTTTTTAGATTACTTGATATTCCTGGGGTGCAATTTTAAAAATTTATGGAGGAGTTGATGTAAAAATTGCATGACTTCTCGTGCAAGTCATAAGTATCTAAGGGTGCAATTGCGCCCTCTAAATACAATACTAAGTTCACTAATTTACGGACTAATATTGCATAACATTCAAGCAAAATATCTATGGGATTATAATCATGCCATATTTATATATATTTTCTTTAGGGGCTGTTTGGTTCGCTATTATAAGGGGTGGAAAACTCAGAAAACCCCTCCACGTCAGATTTTTAGCCCTCCACGTCAGCTTTTTTGTTTCCGTCCATTTCTTTGTGCCGCTTTGGTTCGTTCGAATGGAAGAGGGAAAACTCTGCTGAAATCGTCGCCAACTAAGATTTTTTTTCCTCTCCGATTTCCTTCCCCAACCAAGTGAAATTGATGAAAACTCTGCCACGTCAGATTTTTTCCTTTTCTGCTTTGTTTACAAAAGTTTTTCTTTTTTCTCTATGCGAACCAAACACAAGAAAAATAAATACACTGGTTTCCCACCATTTTTTATGTACGAACCAAAGCAAAACAATCTATTTCTTGGAAAAGTTTGGAAAACTCAAAACTTGTGTTTCTTTACATGGAATTGCATTTCTCCATATCAAGGAAACGAACCAAACATACACTAAAAACTAATTAGATATATAAATCATATTTTATATGTAGAGATTTTTTATAATTTTTTCTCTCCCACCCGACAAATTCATCCATGTATAGATCACTGAGTTTCTAGAATGACGAAAGGACGAAGTTAAAAGTGTAAAGATCCTAAGCTTGCTCATTGAAAAGGAAAAGATTAGGGATTAGGAAATTCTGAGAGAATCACTTGTTTTTTGACAAATTTTGAGGGGGAAAAGTAATTTCCTTCTATTCTTAGTTACAAATTGGTGCATCTTTTCTCTATTTTGTAAATGCCTTTTAGTTTCAATCTGTTCTTCTTTTTCCTGATTATATTTTACAACCTTACAATATGATATAAGGAGAATTAAAAGCTGTTTATAATCAACTAAATAGTATAAGCAAATGATAAACAATTTTCAGTCTTCTATATACATTGCTTTTATTAATTTAATAGAGGGAAAATTTTTTAAAAAAATGAGAAATAAATGGCAGTGAAGCATGCGTAGTTAAGGATTGCTTTGCAAAGTGGTGGCTAATTACTGAATATTATTTTATTCAAGCAGACATATTAATATTAGTCACATCAAATGACAAGACAAAATTGCAAAGCTGTAAAGCAAAGGCATTAAAGATCCCTTTGTCAAAAGAATTCGTTAATTAGTTACATCGCATTCTTGATATATCTTCAACTTATTACAGATGGAAAATGCGTGCGGACATTAATCTCTTGCATATTAAACATGATGATAGATGAGTTTAAGTGAGATAACTAAAGCTAGACCTCTATGATGAGAAGAAAGCAACAGGTGGCCGCATTTAATCTCATAGAGTAGTAGGTGCTCCTTTGGCCCCCACAACATTTATCCTTACCTTGACCAATTCAAAGAAGTTTTCATGTCTTTTTTTGTGAAATTGTGCATCTAGGATCCTAGATAGGTAACCTAAACCCCATAGTATGCTCAATAGATACGCTTTTGTCAATGTAATGTTAATAATTGTTTGTCCTTCATTAATTCTTTCACATGTGAGAATCACCAACAACCAAACAACTTTTCACACAAAATATGTAGCAAAACAGGTCATCATAATATGATTGCACGCTGTTTGGTTGTATGCTTTTACCATGTAAAAGGATAGAAAGTGTAAAAAAATGGGTCTCAATGTCAGCTTTCATCACTTTACATTGTTTGTTTAAATTCTCTTTTACATGAAAAACTTACACCTTTTGATGATGTGTCACCGAAAGCAAAATCACCAAAATTAGGAGTGGTTTTGTTGGAAAGTTGACACAGTGTCATAAAAGTATCCACAATAATAATAATAAAGTCAAAACCTTGTAGAAAGTGGTGAGGTGGATAACCACTTTCTATTTTGTGTCATAAATACTCTAGTTTTCTAAAAGCATCCAAACAACGTATAACTTTACTAATTAATGGAAGAAAATCTTCTCTTCTTTCAAGGGAGTGTGTGAATCATCTTCAAAGGAAGCAAGGAGTCTTGTTGCATACACGGCTAAGTTAACATGAATTTTTTTTTATTGTCATTATTATTATCATTATTATCATGAGGCTCTTCTAAAGAAAGGAATTGGATGCTAAATGAGACCTTAATAAATTACAAGAATGAGTCCTCAATAAAATACAAGAACCATAGGCCACCTAAGGCATGTACGTCCCTTGTCACGGTTTCATGCCAAATTAACTAGGGTCTAGAGTAGGACTTTAAAGGTTCTTACCTTGATCATTGAGCAAAACACTTTTGAACCCTTTATACTATTTGAAGAAAAAAAACTCATCATTCATGACACATGAGCTCTTTAACTCATCTTTTTCCCTTCCAACTTTTTTTTATATATAAAATTCAAAAAGTCTTTAAGCATTACTTGCTCAATGACATTTTGTGGTGTGGTAGGCTCTAACTAATAACCCAAAAGTTTCTACCAACTCTTCTGTTATTCTTAATTTACCCTTCATGTGATCTTAATCATAAAACCACATCTATAAATATCCTAATGCATGTCCTCATCATATCCATCAACAACACAATCACAAAGGGAACTAAACACAAATGGCCCTTTCTATGAACTTATTATTTCTTGTTCTCATCATCTCCCTCTCCCTCGCTCATCTATGCTTTGCTGATGGCTCCCTCACCCCTCAATTCTACGATCATTCCTGCCCTAGAGCTCAGCAGATAGTGAAGGACGTAGTTGAGAAGGCGGTTGCCAAGGACAGAAGGATGGCTGCTTCATTGCTCAGGCTACACTTCCATGATTGCTTTGTGAAGGTAACGCTAGCTTAGAGGGAGTTCGATCATTTTGCTCTTTTAATTTACTAGGGATCGATGTCAAATTGCTGCAATGACCAAAACACCCCTGAAACATGTAACCATGGCCTAGCTTCTCTAAAGGTTTTGTGAGGTCGCGTCGAACTTTTTGCAGGGTTGTGATGGCTCTGTCCTCTTGGATAGCTCTGGGACGATCGTGAGCGAGAAGCGGTCCAACCCTAACCGAGACTCTGCGAGAGGGTTCGAGGTGATCGACGAGGTGAAATCAGCGTTGGAGAAGGAATGCCCGCAAACTGTGTCATGCGCTGACATCCTCGCGGTCGTGGCGAGAGACTCCACAGTGATTGTAAGTCAAATTTAAATGTATTTCTTCCGGACTGGAAAGACAAAATAAAAATACCTTCATCAATCAATTCTTTTTAGAAAGTTTTTATGGTGATTAAATTTGTTGTAATAGACTGGTGGACCGAGTTGGGAGGTTCCTTTGGGGAGAAGGGACTCGTTGGGTGCAAGCTTGAGCGGATCCAATTACAACATTCCGGCTCCTAACAACACTCTTCAGACGATAATCACCAAATTCAAGCTCAAGGGCCTCGACATCGTCGATCTTGTCACGCTCTTAGGTGAACATACACATCTTACGGTTTTAAATAATCGATTCCTCTACACTATTTTCGTACCGCTAGACATGCTATACATGCTACATGATCCTAACATGACAATATGAGAATATATAAATTACTAGTGTGCGCCCCGTGCTTCGCGCCTTCCCTTTTTTTATCGATATAATAATCCCGTTTTTTAATTGCTACAATATTTTTAAAATTTCACAGTAATATTTTTTTAATGCTATAGTAATATTTTTTTTCAAAGTACGCCAGAGCATCCTCCGTATGCTACAGTAACATGTTTTTTAAAATGCTACAGTAAATTAATGAATCATTTACTGTAGCATGAATAGTAATTCTTGGTTCCTCCCGTTATTATAGAGGAATAGATATCAGAATACCCTGCTGCATGCATGCAAACAAGAGTATTCTAAGCTATACAAGAAACAGTTGTGTTCTAAAACTATCCCTACAATCTTCCGTGTCGGCTCACATGTAAAATGTCCTGATATGATTTGTACTCTTGATAGAATGCCTAGTTTCATATATAAATTCCTATTTGATTGTGATAGTTGTTAACTTTTCTCTTGAAAAACAATTATTTGGATGTGACAATTATATCGAGAAACCACCATTAGATTTCAATTGTGATATTATCTATACAATCGTAATCATCCAACAATATCTAAGGTTTCGTTTGGATATCATAGTGTTTTCCTTTTTGTGTTTTGTAAAAAAAACACCATGATGTTGTGTTTTTCCCTTAAAATATTTTCAAAACACAATGTTAAGTATTTTGGTCAACACTAGTTTGATCCATTATAACATTCGTATTAAACATATTATTGATATATTATATATTAATTATAATAAAAAATTATAAATAAAATGTTATAATATTTAGTTTACAATATTATAGTATTATAAGTATTAAATGTAATGCAATATAATATTGTATAATGTATTATAATATTATATTGTACTTTAATGAGTTATATTATATTATAATTATTACATATTATTTTCAAATAACTAAATATTTAATTACTTTGGTCTACCAATTTGTTATTGTTGTATATTATATTAAACTTTTATAATAATATTATTTTATTATTAGTATAATATTATACTATTATTAATATAATATAATATTATACTATTATTTATATAATATAATATTATTAATAATGTTAATATTATGTTATTACTAGTATGTTATTAATAAATTAATATATTATAAATATTTTAATATTATATAATATATATAGTTTTATTAAAAAGTTAATAATATTATAGCGATTATACTATTATATAGTATAGTATTATATTATTATTTATTATCAATAACTTTTTTATTATTTATTATTAGTTTATTTATATTTTTTATTATTTATTTATTATATAATATATTATTAACCTATTAGATATTGGTATTTAATATGTTATTATATTATTATATAAGATATTTTATTTAATATTTTTTATATTATTTAATAAATATTACTAATATATTAAATTAATTATAATATAGTATAGTATAGTATAATATAATAAGCATGTTGATAATAACTCTGTATTAATTACATTTAATATATTATGTTAGACATTATATTAACACCTTCTCAAACTCAAAACCAAAACACCAAACTTAAAACACCTAAAGGGTGTTTTAAAATAAGTGTTGTGTTTTTGTTTTGAGGGTGATTTAGCTCAAAATACACCATGGTAACAAGTAAAACACAATCATGGAAACATGTAGAACAACATGGTATCAAATAATTCTTATTCGTTTCTAATATAACTATTTCTAATATAACTAACGTTATCATCCCGGGTAAATTCTCTATACAGGAAGCCACACTATCGGCGATGCGAGATGCACAAGCTTCCGCCAGCGCCTCTACAACCAATCTGGCAACGGCCTCCCTGACGCCACCCTCGACAAGACCTACGCCGCCCAGCTCCGCCAGCGCTGCCCTCAATCCGGCGGCGACCAAAACCTCTTCGCCCTCGACTTCAACACTCAATTCAAGTTCGACAACTTCTACTACAAGAACCTCGTTGCCAATAAAGGCCTGCTGAGCTCTGACGAGATCCTGTTCACTCAAAGCTCGACGACGATGGCGCTTGTGAAGAAGTACGCAGAGGATAACGGCGCCTTCTTCGAGCAGTTCGCAAAGAGTATGGTTAAGATGGGGAACGTTGACCCGTTGACTGGGAAGAGGGGAGAGATTAGGAAGATTTGCAGGAGGATTAATCACTGAGTTGGAACTTGAGAGTGGATTGTACGTTGTTGCGGTGGTGATATCGTCGGTTCTTTTGTTGTGCTTTAGGCCAAGGAAAACGTGTGTTGTTTTGTTGTCAGATCTTGTTATGTAATTTGTTTATTTTGTCATGAAAATCTTGAAAGTGTTGATTATCATGAAACGTTCGTTGTATTCCGTATTATTCATTTCATTAAACTATGTATCTCATGATTTTAATTTACTTTGTAAGTGCCATTGTCCTTCGACTTTGTATTGTTCAATATTTATATCGTTCCAGATGAAATTATACTGAAGTCAATTGAGGATTCATGTATGAGTATAAATTCATACTGTAAAGAAATACAAGTAGCACTTGCTAAAAGAAAAGAGCTAAACATAATAACAAACTGCGCATCTTAAAAGTCTTCAAGTTTTCTGATTAATTTAGTTACTCATCAATTTATCATACTATAATTTGGATGGTCAGCATTAACCTGTAGTGCGAACCTCGTAGAAAATCAAAGATACAAGTGCTGACCTCAATTGCTTATATAACTTGTTGACTTGTTATCGTACAATATCATCTTAGAAATTATGAATAAGGTGATAAACAACTACTAAAAAGATCAGAAATAGTAGAACAAATTACTAGTGATCAAGTGACATAAAACCACCCAGAAAGAGACGTCAGGTGCAAAACTCAAAACTTCGAACAAGATGAGATGAGATTAACAATAATTTCGACTTTACATCCATAATAGCAATTAACAAAGAAATAATAAATAAATAAGCAAAACTTCAAATAAGTTTCAACAGTGAATAACAAGAGAAACAGTACATGCCTAAATCTCCTTTCAAACTTTCATGTAACTGGCCCAGTGACTAACACCTAAACTACTCAAAACATATTTGCTACAAAATTTATCGGTATCTACTCAATATGTTAAACAAATATATAAAAACATTATGAAAATGTTGCAACACATTTTTTTGAGGTACAAGGAGATGCTAGGATAAATAGGGCTCAAAAAGGCCGGACGCAAACACAACATTAAAACTAACATTAGGGAAAGCCATACAGTTATTCCTTTTTGCTGGCTTTTTGTGCACTCTTCCGCTTGTTTGCCAAGCGCTTGTTTGTTTCCTTCTTTCGCTCAATACCAATCTGTAGGAAAGTAAATAGATGAGAAAATTTTCCTTATAAAGGACTTCAAATAGGAACTGAAACAAATTAAGAATTTGGAAAGGAGAAACTAATGAACAATGATGAAATGAGCTATCTCCAACCATCGAATATTTACAATTAACAGAATAGCCATATCGTCCGAGTTTCTTTCGTTGTTGAGATATTTACTCTTTTCGGAACTTCAATCAGCTAGACCAATTTCAGTCAAGGTAAAGTATTCTCTACTACTGCATGGAATGTCGAAGATATGTCCACTTTGAGGAAACTAGAACGAAAGAAATAGAAATGTTTCAACCATAATGTAAAGGGTTGATTGCAGAGGCACCCCTTCTAGTGTGAGAGTAAATTATTTTATTAGCAGTTACACCCATCCAGGTGACATTTTCTCCAATCTAGATTAAGATGACACGGCAATTGCATGATAATAACTGCCTTATTCCTTATAGTTTAACTGAAGAAATAATAAATTACCCGCTAAATTGTGGACAAGTAAGGCCCTCTGAGGTTAAGGGGGTGCAAGTGATAAAACAAGTTTTAAGGGGTGCAAGTGGTTGCACAGCATAATACAGGGTGCGTGCCTGCAACTAAACCTTATGTAAAATATCTGTAGATCTGCAAAGGAACTGTAGATTCTAGGGTATGGATCCACAGGTAAACGAAGATACAAGGTGGAAACAATTCATAAAACCAATAATATGACGCAACGGGGAGAGAGGAAAACAATGAATACCTGCATTGCTTCATACAGCTTCCTGTTTTTCCTAGACATCTGCACCATGGACATACTGCGAGCATCCTCAGCAGCACGTTCTAATTCCTCTTTTGCATCTTCCATGACCTCATCTTTTTCAACTGGTTCCGGCAAATTGTTATTTGATAAAGAAGCAGAATAAGTAATACCCTGCAGTTCCATCTTCAGTTCTTCGTGGTGCTGCTTTTCAAGCATCATCAACTGCAACAATCATCACAAAATTTTTAGTGCATCAAACGACAGAATTAGCAAATGTCATGAAAACTTGGTTGAAGTATTGTGTACCTTGCGTTTCTTCTCCGCTGCCTCATTAGCTTCTGCCCTATCAATAACACCTTCAGCCAAAAGATTCAGTGGATCATCTAAACCCTCATCTAAGCCTGGCATTGGTAACACTTGGCTTTTAGCTGAATCTTGGAGACGCTTGATGGTCTCAGCATATTCGGGAACATAACCTTCAGCCTCATTGTCCACAAAAGGTGAAAGATGTGGGGGAGGGACTCTGTTGTATCATTATTAATCAACTTAAAGCGGTGGATAATAGTGAGGGAAATATAGAGAAATAAATTTTCTAGTGTTTCTAATCATCAGTAGGGATATACCTCCCAACCATATATGCCTCTGTTGGTAGCAAGATTCGAGCATTTACACAATCATATACCCACTGGGGCTGAACATATTCTCTAGACAGAAAAAGATGACCCTGGCTCGGCCTATCAACAATCTACATGTACAATAAATATCAAGGGTACAAGTCGAATCAGTACATAACAACGTGATAAGAAACAAGGGAAGTATACTGTGATTGTTCCTAACAGGCTTCAACCAAATAGATGTAAAGATATAATATGAACTCTACACGCATAAAGAGGAAATTCGAAGAGGTATGAACCATACACACAGATACACAGTCAACAGCGCACATTCATAGTTGGGCTAGCCTAAAATTAACGCTCCAGATTTTAGGGGAACAACTGCGCCAGGCATTCAGCCACAAACTTTTATGTAATAATTATTCAGTTAATATCGGGTTTTACCTAGTTGCACTCTAACAGGAAGAAAACTTCCAGACTGAAATGCATCAAATTTTATTTCCTTGCGAAACAAATGAAAATTCTATTCGTAAGGAGCAAGATTTGAACAGACTTATCTTGTTTCCAACTATTGTTCTAATCTAAAAGGAATATAGTGATTGATTTTTACAGATGTAAATATGTATGTCACAAACAGGGGAGACAAACAATAGAAACAAAGATCCAGTATTTAGAGCATGGCAAACAATTATTAATCTAGTCCCTCAAATGATACAGAAAATGTGCTAGGATTTATACTTTACAATTTGACATTTTGTTAGTTATCTTAACTATAATCTTAATTCTTAAATACTTTACAACTACAAAGTTTAACAGAAGCATCAACTAGAGATGCTTTTACAGACACCTCTAGCTGCACGAAATAGATGCCACATCAACCTTACATCGAAAAAAGGTTACCCACATGGATAGTGTATAAATCATATATCTAGTTTTTATATTGCATAACAAAATTGAAAATCTTATATCTAGTATCGACTTGCAAAATTGAAATCATATATCTAGTTTTTATATTGCATAACAAAATTCATTGAAGGAAAATACTACTACATACCTGATGAGTGATACTCTTGTCTGTTTCCTTTAATGGAGAACCATCACCTTCCCAGGAAACAACACCTCCAAATGCCGGAATGACGAACAGCAATGACTCTCTTGGAACCTGAATTAGATAATCAAGTTATCAAAAACAGCAAGAAAGAAAAAGCCTCTTTGATAAAATATCAAGAAAAAACATCAAAGAACTTTCAAACATAGTTCTAAAAAAATTGAACCAAAAACAGATTCGAAAGCAGTATTATCCAGCTTTCCAAGGCTCACCTCACGGCTCAAGAAAAAATTTAGATTTTTAAATAGATTCTTGCATGACTTTGTTTCTTCGTCCTCATCAGCCACAGTGGTAGCATCCTCCATAAGATGCATCAATGTACCCGGTTCATTAGCTGGCAACTGATGTTGGAGCTGGGCCAATCTAAGTTCCGATTCATTGGTTCTTTTATCATCTTTTCCACCCTCATCTTCCTCTTTTCCAGAAGTAATGGCTCGAGTCCCAAATGATGTTCCAGAACCAGAACCAATGTACCGATATAAAGCATACAGTGCTGCATACCATGCAAATGACAGTAAGCAAAACAGCAATTAGGGATTTTTTGAAAAAATGCGTGTTTAAGAAAAAGAAACAATTTTGTTTGCACCATATAGGGTTGTGAAAAACAAAACACTAAACTATGACTAATTGGAATAACTTAATAAAGTTGGCATTTCCTGCTAAACCAGAAAAGACAAATTTTAGATTAAAATTATTTGACATCGCTCAAAAACATGGACATTTCGATAACACTAACCAGCAGCTGCAGCTTCAAGTCTAGGATCTAGAATAGGTGGATACTTCAGATTTATGGAATGATAAAGCTTGAAGTTTACAAAACCTAAAAGAGCCTGCATCAAAAGGTAAGATTAGAATAGAAACATAAGGAACACAAAAAGTATAGTAAAAAATTAAAATATGTGATTGTCATATGCTAAAAAGTAAGGCTCTAATTAAAAGATGCTTTAATGTTATGCTGATGGGAGATTAACTGAAGCAACTGAAGCATACTAGCACACTGGAACTCATGCAAAGCGTTACAAAAGATTCCATCTTAATAGACACTTAATGCTTATGGCGATTAGTTAAAACATACAAACACTTCAATATGAGGCTTTTTAAAGTGTATTATGGTTATGGCTCTGAAGATTAATCGAAATAAGATTGAGGAAACTAAAGGATTATGCGCTGCTTCAAGGAAGAGTCAACATAAAAAAAGATATGAACATTTCAATTGGCTTATCCGAAGTCATTGATGCTGGTAAATAACCCGAATGGAAGCAATCACAACATGCTCGAAGATGATTAAATAGTTAGAAATTTAATTGGGCCTACAATTCAAGTCCACGGTTCCACTTATATAAATTTGCCAATTTTAATACAAACAAAAGTATTACCTCGTAGAACTCTAAAAAGGTAAGCATGACATTAAAGTCAACATCATCAGTCAAAACTTGCTGCAAGGCATGTGGAGTTAGCCATGTGATTTTTTGACCCTCGACCTCAGCCTATAAAATTGATGAGCAATCAGATTATAAATACTTGGAACCTACTGAAAAAGAGATATTACTATCAACCATGTGAACCAAATTACCTGATAGTATATGCCTTTAACAGATATGAAAGTCTTGCGCAGTCTATGCGTCCGAGATATGTAGGCTTGCCATTCATGACTTAATCTAATCAATCAAGAAGAAAACACAATAAGTATACTACAATTAGCCATCCAAATCAAATGGATCACAAGCAACATTTATTAGTGTATAATATAGATATTATAATGTCCAGTTCCAAATGCTCTATGTATTCATCGCATACAGCAGAACCTAAACAGTGAATAACCCAGGAGGTATTACTTCCTATTTCAATTTGACGTGATCAATTCAACAACTTGAGGAGTTAGCTATTAGCTTCAGATAATTTGCACTTACACGTACTCAGCATATGAAACAAAAGATATTATGCTCAAGGACCTAAAAAATAACCCACCTTAGGCAATTATGAATCCTGTCTACTTGAATGCGTTCACCCACAACAGCAGGTAATGCTGCAAAGAGGTGTACCATAGTGAGGCAGTCGTCCAAATCTCGTAGCGCGTCAACAAAAGTAGGATACCTGAATTGTCAAGGGAACTCATAAAAGAAGAGTCTTGCATAAAAAAAACAACATAAATAAAAATTTGAGGCATTAAACCTTTCTTTGATAAGCCTATTAAGTGTATATTTTGGCTGACGAGATAGTAATTGATCTGCGCGGTCCCTGTTTTTCTTTGCTAATGCTTTCTTAACCTTCCTCTTATGCGCCCTTATGTCTCTGGGTAACAAAGGAACAAAATGTCGTTAAAACAATTGTAATACGCGATGATCACAAATACCAACCAGTAATACTGCAAATGATTTGAAGATAGAATTTGTGAAAGCAAGCATCATGATCCTACATTCCTACTTCATTCTAGAATGTGTGTTTGCTCATTATTCTAACTAGAAACTTCTATGTTCATCCAACATATCATCTCACGATACTTACTATCCTTCGCCAGTCTTTCATCAAACCATAGACAATCTCAACAATGTCAAACTTCGGTAATACATACACAATATACTAAACTAGACATGGCCATGGGTGGGCTTAGCCCGCCCGAACCTGCTGGACACAAGCTTGGACAGGGCGGGCCTAGTTGGGCCTGGACCGCCGAGCTTCGAGCAGGGCCCAAGCTGTCATTTTATATATTTTTTAAAATTTAAAGGAATTTTTAATTTTTTTTCCAAACTATTAAATGTAACAAAATACTATAAATACAAAAAAGTTGACAAAAGAAGATAAATTTCATTAGTAAATTGATAAATGTGGTAGATGCTTATAGAATTGCAGAGTTGCATACTAAAAAAACATTTAATATTAAATGGAAAAAGTACAATACTCGACTTCTGAAAATGAAAAATACAAATTGAGTGCATGATTCCATGAATTTCTTCAACTGAGGGATGGTTCCACTCCTTTCTCATCGAGCTTCATTTGCAGCAGGCAGTAGCACTTTGCTAATGCTTCTTTCATCTCATAAAATATATATTTCAAAAAGAATCGTGATTTTCCCTATTCACTTTAATTTTATCTAACATTTATTACATAGAGCAACTCTATTACCACCCTCACCTTCTGTTGTGAAGTTCGTAGGTCTAAGATCCATCGATTTTGATAACTTCATTTGAGAATGAGAGTATGAGAACTTGAGAGAACAATGAGAAGAGAAGAAGAGAAGATCAGTACGAGGAAGGAGTGAATATTGAAGGGTATTTATAGAATTTTTGGAATTAATTTNGGTTATAAATATAAATAAAAAATGAAAAGCACCCAACAATGAAAATTATTCCGACAATGCAAAAATTTGCCTGTTGGTTTCGGCAACGAGCATGGTCAAAAAGGCCACATGGCCTTGTTGGCCACATGAAGTTTTAAAAAAAATTACAACTTGTCTTAGGGCTAAAGTTTGGGCCTGAACTAATTTATATTAATCATGCCCAAATTTTGGGCTTAAATATTGAGCCTATTTTTTTTAACTTTGAGTGGGTCTGGGAGGGTTTCGGGCGGAGCTAAGGTCGGGTTAGGGCCCAGCCTGGGTGGTTTTGGGCTTAGGTTTTTGGACCTCGTGTCTAGACCACCCCAGTTTTCCCATGAGTTCGGGCTTGGGCCCAACCTGATCAATACAGGTCAGGTAAGTTCAAAAGTCTCGAGACGGGACCGAAACCCTCCCAAACCTGCCCAAGATGAAAAAAGAATTAGGCATATTTAAGCCCAAAATTTATGGCTAAAAAAAGTAATTAGGCCCAAAATTTTGAGCGTGATTAATAAAAATTAGTTCAGACCCACTTACGGCCTGAGTTATAATTTTTTTTGTAAAATTTTAGGTGGTCTTGTCAGCCATGCTCATTGCCGAAACCAGCGAGCAAATTTTTGCCCGTTGGAATTATTTTTAATTTTGGGTCCTTTATTTATCTATTTATGATTATAACTTGGGGTTTTTTGTAAAATTAATTCCAAAAATTCTATAAATGCTCTTTAATCTTCCTCACACTAATCTTCTCCTCCTCATTGTTCTCTCAAGCTCCCTAAGTTCTCATACTCTCATTCTCATATTAAGTTCTCAAAATCAAGGAATCTTAGCCTTACAATGGAAGGTGAATGTGGTAATAGAGTTGATATGTGTAACAAATGTAAGATAAAATTAAAAAATGCTACAACTTGTGGAACGGAAAATTTACGTAAACATTTAAAACTTCATATGAATAGGGAAAAATCACCATTCTCTTTGAAATATATATTTTATAACATGAAAAAAAAAATTAGCAAAGTGACGTTGCAAATGAAGCTCGAAGAGAAAGGATGAGCGAAATCATCCCTCAGCTTAAAAATTTCATGGAATAATGAACTTAAATCATAATTTTCATTTTCATAAATCTAGTATCGTATTTTCATTTAATATAAATGTTTTATTTTTAGTATGCAACTCTTCAATTATATAAGCATGTACCATATTTATCAATTTATTAATGAAATTTATCTTCTTTTGTCAATATTTTTCTTTTTAATAATATTTTGTTATTTTTAATAGTTAATAGAAAATTCCTTAGAAAATTTTAAAAAGAACAGGTTGGGCTCGAACTGGGCCGGGCCAAAGGGCAGCATGCTGAGCTTGGGCAGCGCCAACCACGGAACCACCAGGCCCAAAACTGGCCTGGCACAATCTGGGCCCAACTAGGTCCGCCCGTCCAAGCCCAGGCACGGCGGGTTCAGAAGGGCTAAGCCCGAACTCAGCCTGTGACCAGGTCTACTAATTTGCATAAGAAACATAATGTTCACAACCTCTAGGCGTCCTAGTTCTTATGACTATTCTACCGACAAAAGGGTGCAAATTGCAACGAAACTGCAATCCATAACTATATCTGCATGCAAATTATGGAAAAAAATCAACTTCACCTAATAATAAGAAGCATCAAATGAATCACCTGAACTTCTCAACCAAAGGATCATGAGCCAAGAACAAGATATCCTTCATATGATAGTAAGTCTTGTGGGTCCCCTCCACCTTCTTCTTCGGCTCCCGAGGAAATATCCCCTTGAGAATGCATAACCTCCTGCGAACCAAAACCAACAACAACCATTAACCCTAAAAACAACCAAACCAGGACCCTAACCCTAACTCAAAACGATCAAATCAATCAAAACCCTAACCTGAATGTTGCCAAGCTGACTTGGAGATAATGAACCGCCTTGGTTCTCGTGATGTACTTGGCCGCATTTCCTTCCTTCTTCTTGCCCTAATCGATTGGAAACACATCGGAAAGATTAGATCTTTGGATGAATCTAGACAAGAAAAAAGAAAGATGGTTGGATTTGGGGGTGGAATTACAGCAGGTCGATAGTGCTTCGGCATCTTCGAATAGATTTGAGAAGAGAGGAGAGGCGTTGGGCCGGAAAAAGGGATTTTTTTTTTGGAGGCGGGGGTTTAGGGTTTTATTGGATGAGAATTAGGGCAGAAAAATGAATTGGACCGGTTCGATGGGTGCGAGTTACGTGCTATCGGGTCAGGCTCGGTTCCTTCCCGACCCGTTATCTAGTACATGGAATGGGCAAATTTTCATAAAACCCCCGAAGTGTAGAGAGTTCCATGAAAATCCCTGAGCTTTGGAAAATTTTCACCTATTCAAAATCCAGTTTTTCAAAATAATAATAATAATAATCTCCCTGTTTCAGTAAAACCATCAAAAAAGCCTAACCATAAAATGTAATTTTCTCCGGCCTTTTTTAAGTAGGGTTTTGTTTGCCAATTCCAAAATAAGATTGGGTTTGAACTGACTTTTTTTAACTAGGCAAAAGTTGGTCCATGTAGGAGTGGGTCCAAAAGAAAACTAGTTTAATAGTTAGAATTTAAACTAAAAAATAACTTTAAATATGAACCAAATTTTGACAATTTAGAAACTAGTTTTTAGATCATGCAGCTTCGATTAGTGACCCAACAAAAACAATGTCAAAGTGACATTATTTCTTAACCATACTAGAGTTGGTCTAAGATAGGTAGATGTTCAATTCTGGCCTGGTTTTGAGAGCTAAAAATGAACTAGAAGAAGTCAGGCCAGCATTTTCCAAACAGGAAATAGATCAAAATTGGGGGTTTTTGAACGGATGGAGGGGGTTATCTCCAATTTATAAAGCTTATGATAGTTTTATGCAAAATAAACACCGAAGCCCGGGGTTTTCTGAAATGTACCCTTCACGAAATTTTCCCTCTTCAGGACCCTGAAACGCACCATATTCCCGCCCAAAAACATCACGATATAAAAATAAACCTCGGCCAAAATCCCTAATTTCCTCATTTCTCCCCATCTCTTTTCTCGATTTCCACCAATGGATCATAGATTCAGCTCGACCTCTTCATCTTTCTTCGGCGATCTCACAATCAGAGAGCTAAATGGGTTCAGAGGTACTCATATCACTTTCTCTTTTCCCTTCGATTTCAGCGATTTTCCTCTTGTTTCCGCTGATTAGGGTTTTGCCATTTCTCAGTGAGGAAAAGGCCTTACCTTGGCGACCTCTCGTCGGAGTCTGGAGTTGTTTCGATTGAGCATGATGGGATCACTACCCCGCCTCTCGCAGTCTCATTCTCCAAGGTTCCTTTAGTCTAAATTCGCAGTCTCATTCTCCAAGGTTCCTTTAGTCTAAATTAAAATTTTAGTTTTAGGGTCAAAAATAGAAATTTGAGGATGGAGGCTTTGGTAATTAATGAAACTGAATTTTTTACTTCTCTTCATCAGGGAAATGGCTGCTTAATAAAAACACAGAATTTTTCATACGCCCAAATTATTTGAACTGATTTATTTATAAACCCCAAAATCTGAATTGATCTGAGGATATAATATTTTAGTAGGTGGTTTAAAATAATTCTGGTAAAACAATGGCCTTAGAATAAGAACCCATAAAAATTTGTGGTAATAAATGAGATTTACACAAATAGTGTGTAAAAATTGTCTTAAAAAGCTTCGTTCTAGGGATAAATAATTGAATTGTTTTTCTCGGCAGAGGAGAAGCTCGAATCTTCTTGCAGTAGCGGATGAGGATGGGTATGTGAGCTTCTATGACACGCGCCGGAGCCTCCCTTCTTTGAGTTCTTGCCGGGAGAAAGCAGGTTTGTGAAATTACAATCTGGGTCATTGTTTTAGTTCATTTTAAATATTTTTATTGAATATTTCTAAAGGAATGTGTTTTTTTTGTCAATTCAGCCGAAGCTAGGATTTGCGATTGGACAGCGCATAACAATGCCATCTTTGATATGTGCTGGATAAAGGTATTCCTCTCATTTTCATGACGCTCATGTTGATATCTCAAGATTATTGTGATTGGATTTCAATTAATATTACTTTGCAGATAAATTCTTAGTATTAAAAGAGGAACACAACCGTCACCTTTAAATAAGCTACTACATCTTTAGATCTGAGAGTGGGTTTTATGAGGCTGTACCTTCTGTTATAAGCTTATGAAAATTTTATGTATTATCTGTGGGAAACTAGGACTGACTGTACTTACTCGCCTTCTGTTATAAGCTTATGAAAATTTTATGTATTATCTGTGGGAAACTAGGACTGACTGTACTTACTCAGAACTCAAACATAGAATATCTGACTTTTATGTATTATCTGTGGGAAACTAGGACTGACTGTACTTACTCAGAACTCAAACATAGAATATCTGACGTTGTTGTAGATGCAGATGGCTATATGCTGTCTTAATTGACATATTTTATAAAACGCTAGACAGAGGATTCAGAGATTGTATATTCATTCTGTGTCATTATAATTATTGCTCATTTTGAGCATGTACCGAGTTGCAGCATCTCTTGTAATGTACTGCTCATTTTTCTTTGTCTTGCTTTCTTGCAGGATGACACTCAACTATTAACTTCCTCGGGTGATCAGACAGTAAGTTATAAAACCTTTGGAACTTCCAACCAAGGAGCACATATAGTTTTTCTTCTAGGACCATAAAGAAACACACACTGATTTTTTCCCCCTGTAAAACTGACTTGACTTATTTACACTACCAGATAAAGATATGGAATGCAGAGAAAAGGAAATGCGTTGGGATTTTGTCAGGGCATACTGGAAGCGTGAAATCTATTTGCTCACATTCATCTAATCCTGGTAGGAAGCAATCAGGTTTTGCTACAATTGAATGATAAGCGATATTGTTATAAGTGCTTTAATTCGTGCAAATTTCTTTAATTGTCTAGAGCTGCTTGTTTCTGGTTCAAGGGATGGTTCAGTCGCTCTATGGGACTTGAGGTGCAAGTCTAGTTCCACAAATACACATGGAGAACCACGCATATTGTATGATCCTTAAGACAAATACTTCTCTTAGTTCATACAAGCAGCAAATACTGCCGCAAAAAGAATTTACTCTAATATCCATTAGTTGCAGGTCTACTGCTGTCATTAAAGAAGCCCATACTTCCTTTTGCGGAAAGAGGGTTAAGCGAGCAAGGGTTTGTAGACGCTTTCCTTTTAATTCCTTCTGTTCAATTCAACATCTTATCTTAATTAAGAAAAATATCTGATTTTCTCTAGGGTGCTTCCACAAGCATTACATCCATACTTTATCTCAAGGATGAAATGTCCATTGCCAGTGCTGGTGCTGTAGACAGGTTAGCGAGTGATAGAACAACCGAACTCTAAATATTAATTTTCTCCCAAAATTTCATCACTTTTTTTAAAAAAAACTTCATACAGTTATATATGTGTTCTAATTTATCCTTACTTTATGCCAGTGTGATAAAGATATGGGATACTCGGAATCTGAAAGCTTCTATTGCACAAGCATGCCCTCACGCTGAGCCATCTATTGAAAAGGTAGCTTTTATAATATTCACATGATCTGAATAAAAGGTTTATAGGCATGAAGAAATATACCTAATACACACATAAAAACAGAAGTATACACCAATATGCGGTCTAGAAAATACAAAATAATATGCATCTATGACAAACATGAGTCACTTTTTTGACATGACATGGCTTCACAATACAAGTTCCCATGCTAATATACTGACACATGCAATTGGTGGGAGATTGAACATGTTGTCAATATACAGAAGATTGTGTGAAATATTTATATTTATAGCGGACATCTGTCCATAATTGAAGTTTTATTAGTTTTAGTTCTTTTAGTATACAGTGGTTTTAACACAGTCAATTGAGCTTTCTGTTACATTTTGAAGAAAAAGGTATTGCATGGGATCTCTTCTCTATCTCAAGATTCAAATGGCGTGTTTCTTGCTGCTTCTTGCATGGATCATAGGTATTCCAATTCTAGCACGGTTCCAATACTTGCAAAATTCCAACACATTATTGAATTGTGCTTAACGACTTGTTCTCTTCTATCAGGATTTACTTGTATGATGTGATGCATCTCAAGAAGGGCCCTGCTAAAACATTCACTGGAAGCAAAATTGGGTCATTTTATGTCAAGGTAAGGCTATATACAATAGTGAGTTTTCTGGTAAAGGCAACTTGACACTTTGGTTAAACAATCTCAATCTTGTCTACAGTCAGCAATTAGCCCTGATGGGGTTCACATTCTTGGTGGCTCTAGTGATGGAAATGCTTACATATGGCAGGTATGTTTTAACTTTTAACATGTTTGCATCTCTAAATTCTCAGTTTCTCACTTTGGACTCCATATTGTCATTGTTAAACTTAGGTACGTAGGCCTGAAAGTAATCCAATCATGTTGAAGGGACATGAAGCAGAAGTTACTGCTGTAGACTGGTATGCACTCTAGAAAAGCAAATGCATCTGGTTCTTCTATAGCTTAAGGTCTTTTGGCTGACATTTTCCTTGTGCCCTTTTATTTTATATCCCTTCAGGTGCTCTTCTGACTATGGGAAAATAGCAACTTCATCAGATGACTTCATGGTGAGTGATGTCTCCAATAGTTTCCTGGAAGTTAACTTCATTACTTAAAAAATGCTCTTTATTATTAATCTTGTACCAAATATCTTTTACGTTAGGTTCGAGTCTGGAATATAAAAAAAGGAAGCTCCATTAGCACTAGATCGCCAACTGCAGTTCGAAAGAGAGTAACTGCACATTCAAGCATTGAATGCAGAAAGCTAATGATGGATGATTCTCATTCGGGGTCAGGAGATATAGACAAGCACCTCTGCCATTCAAATGAAATGAAAATAAACTCACCCTCACCTATTCAAACTGAGGCAGTTGAGTTCACTACACCAGAATCCGGAAAGAAAAGAAAAATTGATATGTTTCTAAAGAGTCCAGCCTCTGAATCAGATAGTCCCTCTTCTGTCTTATATCCCCCTCCCTCTTTGAAAAGGAGAACCATTCGCGACTACTTTATGTCTTCATCTTGTAATTCTTGAACCACACCATTTTCTGTCTAAGCTAAGGTACTTATTTTCTCCCTCCATGGTTCTTTGACTATTTGCAATTCATATTACTTGATACTTTGTTTTTGCTGATACAGGCTTTTGAGTTTTGACCGACTGAGAGGCTGCTCACTCGAGAATCCTCTCAAAGATGATTATTGTGGATATAACTGTCTAGAGCATCTAGTCTAAGAACTGCCAGCTATTAACATTTTTGTCTGATACCCATGAAGCTGGGGTAGTAAATATATGTTGTGTTGCGCCAAAAATTTGTTGCCGAAGATCATAAGTTTATCTCTATCAGCAAGAGTACTTGAGAAATACTTTTGTAACTGCTCTCTGATCAAGATACTAGGCCAATTATGGGGCCAAGAAATGCTTGTATTACAGGATACTGTGACATGAGCAGGCTCTAAACATCTACTTAAAATTTGTAAATTGTTGACCTGATGTATAAGCATATTGATTAATCTGAAGATTGTTTATTTCTCTAGGGTGCTTCCACAAGCATTACATCCATACTTTATCTCAAGGATGAAATGTCCATTGCCAGTGCTGGTGCTGTAGACAGGTTAGCGAGTGATAGAACAACCGAACTCTAAATATTAATTTTCTCCCAAAATTTCATCACTTTTTTTAAAAAAAACTTCATACAGTTATATATGTGTTCTAATTTATCCTTACTTTATGCCAGTGTGATAAAGATATGGGATACTCGGAATCTGAAAGCTTCTATTGCACAAGCATGCCCTCACGCTGAGCCATCTATTGAAAAGGTAGCTTTTATAATATTCACATGATCTGAATAAAAGGTTTATAGGCATGAAGAAATATACCTAATACACACATAAAAACAGAAGTATACACCAATATGCGGTCTAGAAAATACAAAATAATATGCATCTATGACAAACATGAGTCACTTTTTTGACATGACATGGCTTCACAATACAAGTTCCCATGCTAATATACTGACACATGCAATTGGTGGGAGATTGAACATGTTGTCAATATACAGAAGATTGTGTGAAATATTTATATTTATAGCGGACATCTGTCCATAATTGAAGTTTTATTAGTTTTAGTTCTTTTAGTATACAGTGGTTTTAACACAGTCAATTGAGCTTTCTGTTACATTTTGAAGAAAAAGGTATTGCATGGGATCTCTTCTCTATCTCAAGATTCAAATGGCGTGTTTCTTGCTGCTTCTTGCATGGATCATAGGTATTCCAATTCTAGCACGGTTCCAATACTTGCAAAATTCCAACACATTATTGAATTGTGCTTAACGACTTGTTCTCTTCTATCAGGATTTACTTGTATGATGTGATGCATCTCAAGAAGGGCCCTGCTAAAACATTCACTGGAAGCAAAATTGGGTCATTTTATGTCAAGGTAAGGCTATATACAATAGTGAGTTTTCTGGTAAAGGCAACTTGACACTTTGGTTAAACAATCTCAATCTTGTCTACAGTCAGCAATTAGCCCTGATGGGGTTCACATTCTTGGTGGCTCTAGTGATGGAAATGCTTACATATGGCAGGTATGTTTTAACTTTTAACATGTTTGCATCTCTAAATTCTCAGTTTCTCACTTTGGACTCCATATTGTCATTGTTAAACTTAGGTACGTAGGCCTGAAAGTAATCCAATCATGTTGAAGGGACATGAAGCAGAAGTTACTGCTGTAGACTGGTATGCACTCTAGAAAAGCAAATGCATCTGGTTCTTCTATAGCTTAAGGTCTTTTGGCTGACATTTTCCTTGTGCCCTTTTATTTTATATCCCTTCAGGTGCTCTTCTGACTATGGGAAAATAGCAACTTTATCAGATGACTTCATGGTGAGTGATGTCTCCAATAGTTTCCTGGAAGTTAACTTCATTACTTAAAAAATGCTCTTTATTATTAATCTTGTACCAAATATCTTTTACGTTAGGTTCGAGTCTGGAATATAAAAAAAGGAAGCTCCATTAGCACTAGATCGCCAACTGCAGTTCGAAAGAGAGTAACTGCACATTCAAGCATTGAATGCAGAAAGCTAATGATGGATGATTCTCATTCGGGGTCAGGAGATATAGACAAGCACCTCTGCCATTCAAATGAAATGAAAATAAACTCACCCTCACCTATTCAAACTGAGGCAGTTGAGTTCACTACACCAGAATCCGGAAAGAAAAGAAAAATTGATATGTTTCTAAAGAGTCCAGCCTCTGAATCAGATAGTCCCTCTTCTGTCTTAAATCCCCCTCCCTCTTTGAAAAGGAGAACCATTCGCGACTACTTTATGTCTTCATCTTGTAATTCTTGAACCACACCATTTTCTGTCTAAGCTAAGGTACTTATTTTCTCCCTCCATGGTTCTTTGACTCTTTGCAATTCATATTACTTGATACTTTGTTTTTGCTGATACAGGCTTTTGAGTTTTGACCGACTGAGAGGCTGCTCACTCGAGAATCCTCTCAAAGATGATTATTGTGGATATAACTGTCTAGAGCATCTAGTCTAAGAACTGCCAGCTATTAACATTTTTGTCTGATACCCATGAAGCTGGGGTAGTAAATATATGTTGTGTTGCGCCAAAAATTTGTTGCCGAAGATCATAAGTTTATCTCTATCGGCAAGAGTACTTGAGAAATACTTTTGTAACTGCTCTCTGATCAAGATACTAGGCCAATTATGGGGCCAAGAAATGCTTGTATTACAGGATACTGTGACATGAGCAGGCTCTAAACATCTACTTAAAATTTGTAAATTGTTGACCTGATGTATAAGCATATTGATTAATCTGAAGATTGTTTACTAATTTGGTTCATTGCATTAGGTTTCAGCAAAAATTTGACTTTAATCCATTCAACTCTGGAAACTTCATTTGCTAAATAATTGCTTTTTTATAATATTTATTCTCCTCTCACACATAATAGAAGCCTTGATCCTTGTCATGCTTATAAATTACTATATTACATTATTCTCAAAAAAAATTACTATATTAGATCACCATGCAAAAGTGAATGATGGCACAATGAACACTTTCTACCAACTATATCACCAGTCATAACCAGATACTCTTGCAAAAAATCTACTGCTACGACATTTGAAGATATCAGCATAAGTTCTCTGAGCACTAGAAAATCCATTTCCTCCATCAAACCAGTCTACCATTTACTGGACAAGTAGTAAACCGTTTATACAATATCAGCTACAAACTTTTAATTTAAAAAAAAAGATTACATATGATATTTTTCAAAATCTTCATATCAGAAAACCGCCCTTTAATTGGGGTTATCAAAAAACGCCTTTAAATTTAAGTTTCTGTCAGAAAACCCTCATGGGGCTAAATATAAAAAAAAACCGCAATCTTCGCATCGGAAAGTAAAATTAGGCAGGGTCATATTTTTGGTTAACACTGTCATGAGGTTTTCTGATTAAATCTCAAACTTAAAAGGGGTTTTTCTGATAACCCCTAACTAAAGGGGTGTTTTTTCTGATATTTTGAAAGTTATAGGAGGTTGTTTGTTGTTCGTCCAAAGTTAAGGGGGGTTTCTTGACATTTAGCCAATTAATCTCACATCTAGGCAAAACGAGACCCAAACCCGTAACGCAAAAGTGACCAGCTTCTTCCCCTCTCCAAACAGAAACTGACCCAAAAAAAAATAGAGATCTCGATCTCGATCAAGATTTCCATTACTGCTCACAATTCTTGGTGAAAGAGACAGAGATCTGAGGTCAATCAATGGCGGCGGAGCTGAATTCTCTCCTCCAGATCTGATCACGAGACGAATCCCTAAAGAGATCTCTATGTCGGGCGCCGTGTCGGCGCTGTTCCTGCTCGACATCAAGGGGAGGGTTCTCGTGTGGCGAGATTACCGAGGCGATGTCTCCGCTGTCCAGGCCGAGAAATTCTTCACGAAACTCATCGAAAAGGAAGTGAGATCTCCATTCTTTGATTTTTTTTTTATTACGTTTTAGATTGGAGTTATTTTGCTTAAAAGAAATAATTTTTCAGTGTTTTATTATTATTATTTGTGCTTGACTTGAATCGGTGTGAGTGAAATGTGAGATCTGATACTAGCGTTAAGGTGAATGTGTTAAAAAGTTTGGAAAATTAAAGGTTCTTGAGATAAGTTTGATCACAGTAGTGGCTTTGTAAGCCTTCAAATTTCTATATGTTGGATCCATTGAGAATTTGTATTGCAACTGATTAATTCGATGATTCTGCTGCCTGAAAGTGAAGTGAAACACTTGAGATGGATATGGATGCAGTTACATGTGGCGAAATTGGCGGTTGGATTGGGGGCCTTCTAATTGGCTGTTGGACTTGAAGAGAAAGATGATTCTGGAATCTCTGGGTGAAATGGAGGTGGAGGGAAACATGTATTAGAGAAGAGAGAACCGATATGGAAAAGGGAATGACAAGGGTGAGTTGGGGCCTTATGGACATGATCAACTCTAAACATGAGAGCATGAGATGGAACAGTTTAGCATGGGCAGTGTGGGTTGGGGCTAATATTGGAGGGGTTTATAAAGTGGGAGAAGATATGGTTGGATTAGACATCGGCATCTGTTGTGATGGAAATCGCCCCAAAAAAAAGAGTTTACTATTAGCAGGGAGGGGACTTTTAGTTTTCTTCAAGGAATACTAGGAAGGAACGCTAGGAATCACAGAGAGGGTGTTGGTATTTACATTTTTCCATAGTTCTTGAAAATGCTTTTGATCTTTGCTGGTCACTTTTGGATGAGAACAAAAATATCTAGGATATAATTCTACTACTTAGAGTCAACTCTTAAGAGCATGCTTTCATATATCTAGAGTAGGATGGTTTCAAAAAAGAGTATTTTTGTAAAATTACGTGATTAGAATATCCATGAAAGACCCACAAATCTGTGTTAGAACAGCGTACCTAAAATGAGAAATTGAAATATGTAAGTATCAATTAGAAAAAAGACTGACAAAAACAAGTGCAAGTATCTGAAACCTAGAGGTGACAACAATGACCTAATTGGTTAACATGGTTTCCTCATGTTTCAATGCTGTAATTATTCTTCTCTTGTGGAGTAAGAAAATCTAGAATTTATTTATTGGCAATTTGGCATCTTGAAGATGTGGACTGCCTTTTTATCTGTACTTGAGTGCATCCTAGAGTGTAGACTTCGTTTTCAACTTGCAGTGGACAAGATTGGAAAGAACTGCACAACATTGTTTGGTAGATTGCTTTAGAGAGAGAGAACCAGTATTTTATGGTAGTAAGTCTAGAGCCTAGACATCTACATAATTGACTGCAAACTCTATAGCAATCCCCACCCCACCCCCAACAAAAAAAAAGGCAACAAAAGCAAAAAAGCCTCTGACCCTCTCATCCGCAGAGGCCCCTGTTGCCGACTCCTCTCTTTCCGTCTTCCACTCTACGATATTGATCAATGATCTTGAGCTGGAATAGGTTTCATTCTAATGTATTAGGTCTCTGTTCTCCAATTTATAATGTTATTTCTTGTAATTTGATATTGCATGATATATGTGAGAATTGTAGATTGTCCACTGGCTCTGAGAGGATTTGGGTTTTTTTTTTTTTTTTTTTTTTGAGTTACTTCTTTTCTGCATATGCTTCTTTGATTTGATTCTTAAATCAAGTTGAGAATGTGAGCAAAGAATCAACAGAACATATGTAGCAAAAATTGTGTGGAATTGTGGACTTATATCAAGGAATTAGAAACTTATGGATTCTTTTGTATTATATAGTTCGGATTTTATTTAGAGGGAAATTTTTTTCTTTTTTATTCTCTTTTGATTTGATTTTTTTACTGGTTATGGAACATTTGTATTTTACTATTGGCGGAAGGGGATTGGAGTTGTTAATTTTTGTTTCCTTAGGAAAGTAGATACAAAGGTTCGTGAATGATAAATCTTGCCTTTTCTTTTGCTTGCCAGGGTGATCCAGAGTCCCATGATCCAGTAATACATAGTGATGGAGTGAGCTACATGTTCATACAACACAACAATGTTTTCTTGATGACAGCATCAAGACGAAACTGCAATGCTGCCAGTATTCTTCTTTTTCTGCATCGTGTTGTTGATGTGAGTCTTTCTCTCCCTATGTATTTGAGCAATGATCTGGCATACCTTCTTCTTCTTCTTTTGGCTACTTAATTTGATATAGGTGTATTGGAGCAAGTGGTTCGATTTTTTTCCCCTTATTTGCATTGCAGGTTTTCAAGCATTATTTTGAAGAACTAGAGGAGGAGTCGCTAAGAGACAATTTTGTTGTTGTGGTAGGAAAGCTAAGTCACAAATTCAATATTTTTTAATGAACATGGGTAGTACTTTCTGTTTGCCATATGTACAGTTAATCATCGAAGATGCATGTTTTTTTTTTTTGGCAGTATGAATTGCTTGATGAGATGATGGACTTTGGTTATCCCCAGTACACTGAAGCTAAGATCCTTAGTGAGTTTATCAAGACAGATGCATACAGGATGGAAGTTATGCAGAGACCTCCCATGGCAGTAACAAATGCAGTGTCATGGCGTAGCGAAGGGATACGATATAAGAAAAATGAAGTAGGTTGTTTCCTGCATTTCCTTGGGCACAATTTTAAGCCATCATTTACCAGAAAAGTTTTGTTCTTGTTTATCCAGGTTTTCTTGGACGTAGTAGAAAGTGTTAATATTCTTGTCAACAGCAATGGTCAAATTATCCGTTCAGATGTTGTGGGAGCATTAAAAATGAGAACATATTTGAGGTTTGGTTTTCTTCGTTTTTTTGCTTTCATCTCTTGTGGTTTATGGCTCAATTTATTAAGCTGGAACGTTAGAAGTCATTAGGAAAATCCGTTGTTGGTCGTTAATTTCTCACCCTTCTCACATAAACCCTATCCCTCTTGGCCATAGCCAGAAATCACGCCATGCTTGTAGATTTATACTTACATGGAGCCTTCTACAGGCTTCATGGAATCCTGAATATGGTTTAGTGATGACAAGCACTTGTGGATAAACTGATCTACTTCCAATGGCTTTGACAACCTCCTTAACATTCATATTGACAATAAAGAGGAATTTATTAAAAAAAACCAACATGTTGAGTTGTGCTTTCCATGGAGCTGTTTCCTCTTCTAGTCAAAGAACTTTTATTACGCAATTAACATTTAGGGTTCAATATTCATTCTTGAGCTGTTGGACTATCTCTTCATGCTCAAAATTTGTAAGTGCTTGGACCGATGTTCATAGTCTTGTACAGTATACAACTGCTTATTAAACTCATGAGAATGATGTGGTTATTGGCTTAATGGTGGGTTTTTGTTCATTCCGTGGAATATACAGCTTAAACACAATCACCCTCCCGTCATGCTAATTTCTGTAGGGCATATGTTGATGTGTTGATATTTTAATTCATTATGTACATCAAAGCTCTACTGTTTTTTTGGAAAGAAAAGTGACTAAATTTTACATGACTTGTTCAGTGGAATGCCGGAATGTAAACTCGGACTGAATGACAGAGTACTTTTGGAGGCTCAAGGTCGGACCGCAAAGGGGAAAGCCATAGATCTTGATGATATCAAATTCCACCAGTAAGTACTTCAGTTTTATATTGATATTTTTTTTGCTTATCATAATTGTTGCCTTCTTTTCCTCCTAGATCAATATTTTGGATCAAACTCGAAGTCTGATTTGTCTCAATTTATGTTAAGGTGTGTGCGGCTGGCACGGTTTGAGAATGACAGGACTATATCCTTCATACCACCCGACGGTTCTTTTGATCTGATGACATATCGACTTAGTACCCAGGTATAATTTTTGCCTTGTGTTTTCTACTTTCTGAGGGGAACTAATTATTCGTTAAGATCCATAACATAGAGGAGCTTAATTATGAATCAGTAATAAAAAATAAGGTACAAATTAAAATTCGTTTTGGCTTGTAAAGAAAATATTGTTATATAATAAAACAAATTGATTTCTGGTGTAATTTTAATTTCCTAAGATACTTGAGGTTTAAAAATCCATGAAATATTTTCATATAGTAACAGATGTAGAAATTTGTGGTTTCATAATCAACATGTTCACTTTGTTGTTATCTGTATCTATGGGAGAGTGCCAACCAGCGAAGCGCTTGCTTTATATGCTAGAACTGTGATCATTACTCAGTTATCTGCAACAAGTCTAAAGTCCTTTAACGCTGTGTTCAATTTCTATTTAATAGGTAAAACCTCTAATCTGGGTAGAAGTTCAAGTGGAGAAACATTCGAGAAGCCGTATAGAGCTCATGGTAAAGGCAAGGAGCCAATTTAAGGAAAGAAGGTAGTCTTAAACTTGCCATAAATTCTGTGTGTTTCAAGCTGAGGTTCTCATAATCAATCTGATGCAATGGGGGTGTTTCTTTTCTGTTTCATGCAGCACTGCCACGAGTGTGGAAATTGAGCTGCCAGTACCTCTGGATGCTACCAACCCTAATGTGCGGACTTCTATGGGTTCAGCTTCATATGCACCAGAAAAAGATGCCTTAGTCTGGAAAATAAGATCCTTTCCTGGTGGCAAGGTATCTGAGAATTTTCTTCAGATAATTCTTAGACATGAATGTTAGAAAGGTCATTTGCTATCTTAATCTGAGAGACACCTGTAAGTGACAAATCCTTCTTGGTTGAACCTAACTAAGGAGCGATTAGAGACATGTTTATCTTTGGTATGTCTGACATGTATATCGAGATTCATCTAGTTCAGGGTATACATCTCCATTACTGAGGCATCCATGCTTCATAGGCACTTGACATGCTGCACTCATATATTAAAGGTTGTGAACATTTTTAATGCAACCCCCTCTGAGTAGGTCACAATTAGATTGTTTTTAGTTTCACAGTGTACCCACACGTTAAATAGAGTGCAAGGTATATAGGATGACCAAAGTGGCACTTCAAAGAGTCTATATTTAATAACTAAGAAACCTTTGACATATCATTTTAGGCTGCTTTGTCTTTTCCATGCACATGCAATATTTAGTCTACGTTACTTGTTATAGTGATGTGACATTTCCCTCATTAAAGCTGAAAATGTTAGTTCAGCTCATGTGAAGATCATATAATTCATATTGGCTGGGTTTAAATACCGTACTTCTCACTTCCGTATCTTTGTTGACTATTCAGGAGTATGTCTTAAGGGCAGAATTCACCTTCCCCAGCATAACTTCTGAAGAAGATACACCGCAGAAGAAGGCTCCTATTCGCGTGAAATTTGAGATACCTTACTTCACTGTATCTGGAATACAGGTATTCTGTTTTGCATCATTTTTTTTAATTTTCTTTTTTGTGCTTAAGATGATTGTGCTATTACTATGTGTTATGTGCTTAGATCCTATGAATTGTATACCGCATTTCAAATTTCTGGCTGTTGGTAAATAACATAGTTGCATAATTTGCTTGTTGCTATATAGCTGGTCCAAAGGGGATAGTATTATCATTCTTTCATTAGAGGAAGAAGAATGTAATACTATCAAACATCACTGTAAAACTATAGCACATCAAACTTAGTCAAAGAATGATATGTTCTAAGCATGTTCGTTCTAATTTTAGATTCCACTATTATTCTCCGTTAGATCTGGAGCAGATTGATGCTTGCAAGAATTTTCTTACCTGACACTAGCGCTGCATGAGATTTATTACTCCTTTATGCTTCCACGCTTTAGTAACATTCCGCAGATGTAGCTTATGATTTTTAAGTTCTATATTCCTAAAGAAATTGACTCAAGTTAACAATCAAATTTATAGGTTCGTTACCTAAAAATCATCGAGAAGAGTGGATACCAGGCTCTCCCATGGGTGAGATATATAACAATGGCGGGCGAGTATGAACTAAGACTGATGTAAAAGCATAATGTGAAGCCTTGAGAATTATTATTTCCATCGTTCAACAAAAGTTCTTCATTCTCTTCATAACCACCTTATGAAACGCCAAAGCAAGCAGTGAAGAAGAGCATACCGGCATACCTTATTTGGAGTCTTAAGATTGCGTGGTGGTTCAATTAATGCTCTGTTTTTGGTGGGTGATGGTTTGTTTGGATGTGAGTCGTATTTTTGTAATTTATGAGATTCCTTGAAATGAGAATTGGTGTATTTGTTCATGGGAGCGCTTTCACAGGATTATTGTTATATCTCATGGTAGGCTCAGAATGTCTTTAATTTATAGAGGTCGGTTATCATTGGTCACATATAACCTGCGCTCGGTTGTATTCTTTTTCCCCGTAGCGGAAAACCAAGTAATTTCATTGTTGTCGAGGCTTTTGTGGCGTGTCTTGGGAAATCTCATGGTAGGCTTCAGGGAAGCCCTCTGGTGGCGTTAAGAGCGATGAGGACTCGCTATCGTGAAGAGAAGGTGTTAATAGCTGCCTCTTTTTTTTTTTCTTCTTGTTTGGGTTTGAAGATCTTTTTGCTTCCTATTAAGTTAGCAATTTCGTTAGCTTTGACAACTCATTGAAGGCATTCCATTCATTGTCGTCGAGAGAGAGAAAGAGAGAAGGCTTGTTTGATCATTGTTGAGAGAGAAGGCTTGTTTGATCGTTGTTATCAGCTGTACTAGGGATTTTTGCCAAACGTCAAAATTATCAGAAATTCTAAGTCTTTTAACTCTTTTTCTTTCTGGCTTCTCTCTTTTTCAAGCAACTGGGTTGAGTTCTCCTTATTCCAATTGCGGGGTGCTGATTTCTGACTCCTGTTCATTTGATCGTCTTGTTCCCACCATGGAAAGAAACAACAGATAACGCCTCTAGTCAGAAAATGCTTCGAATCGAGTTTTCTTCACCCAAAAATGGGGAGCAAACTCAGCACAAATCCCAGCTCGAAAAAAATAGAGAGAGGAAGGCCCGTTAACATTCACTAGAATTCAATGAGCATCACTGCTATTCCGAAAAAGACATCTCGAGGTTGACAACCTCATCTCCCACGCAATTATGCACACACAAACCAGAGATCATATACACCAATAAACCAAATTCAACAACGCATCAGCATGCATCATGTCTTTCATCTTTGCAAAGAAAGATCAAGGATTGATCAGGTAAAATCCCTTTAACCGGTCGTGAAGCGATAGAAATCAAACGTCATTTAAAAAATAGAGAACAAAGATCTGTGAACACACATATACACAAATCTCAAACAAATGTTTCTGTCAAATCATCGATCATCAATCACCGACCAAACCAACCCTTTTGAGGCTGGATCGTATCCCCTCCCCCGCCATTCATGAGCTTATCAAGCACCACGTTTAGGTCAACAGACTGCCCGTTCTCTGTAAGCTTCCTCACCGTTGCTCTCACCTGTTCTCTCGAGAACCCCATAGTTGCTACCTTATCCACCACATCATCAACAGGAACCCTGTTACCATTGCCACCACCAGAACTTTGCCCTGTGGGCACTGCTTGGGGCAAAATCTTTGCAGTAGGAAGACGAGAATAGTTGCCGCTTCCTCCTCCTCTTGATGCAGGTGGAGAGTTTGAGTAAGGTGATGGTTTCATCGTGGAGCTGTAATGGGATGGAGATCCACTGTATGGGTAAGAATCAGCGAAGGTAGGCCCTGAAGGTGCAGTGTAGCTCGAAGGAAATGGTAATTGACCAGAACCGTAATATTGAGGAGGCCCGCCGGCTGGAGGTGGCTGAGACAAAGGAGCGGGTTGGCGAATATTTGGAATGTAGGACTGAGATTGTGGTGGTGGCGGTGGTGGTAGCATGTATGGTGCTGACTCTTCCTGATGATGAGGCATTGGTGGAGATTGAAGTTGAGAAGATGGGTTCAGATTTTGGGGTGTTTGTTGTGAGTACTGCGGTAATTGGTAGTGTGGTGGTTGCATAGGTGGTTGTGATTGAGGCTGTGGCTGCATGTGCTGGGATCCTTGTGAAGGGTAGTAAGACTGTTCTCGGGGTAAAGATGGGATGGAGGTAAGTTGGGGTTGAGATGATTGAGCAGGGAATTGAGGAGGTGGGTTCTGCTGTGCTGGTGGTTGTGGTGGCGGTGGGGGAGCATTTGGCTGCTGAGTTCGAGAGTCTGATTGTCCGGCACTTACGGTTGATGGTTCAGTTGATGGCTGGTAGTGGTCGGACTTGGTAGAAGATTGCTGTAGTTTTGTGAGCTGGAGTTGCGCTTCAGCAATCTCTTGTTTATCCCGAAGCATTTGAACACCTGTTTGAACCTGCAAGTGTTTCAGAAACATTTAGGAAGAAACCTACAGATTAGTCCAAACTACTTCTAATGTGAGGGAGTGAATCAACCATAGAAGAGGAAATAAATTGAATTGTGGATGAAACAGGGAAAGCTACAAAGCAAAATTTACTCATTAATATACAAGAGGAACGGAAGATGACAGAAATAAGAGTGGTCAATATGGCACACCGGAATTTACCTTAGGAAAATATATTGCGTATAATATGCTTAGGAAGTAGGTATCTCCTGATTTATTAGAGAGCCTGCTAGTTTTGCGAATTGGCTAGAATTTTCGACAAATTAACTCTTTCTTATGTTTCTTTATTTTTTAAGTACTTTCTCATTTATGTCAAGTAATTGATTGTTCCTTGAATAATAGCCATGTTATAGTATAATGGACTGATTATATTAGATAGTATTTGATGAAATAAGCAAAATATAGTTAGCATAGTCAACAACATATAGCACTACAAACCATTGGTATATAAGATCCAAACATGAGTTCTTTCAACAGCATCTAAAGAAATGCTTATTCACATAAGAGCAGTAGGCAAAAGAATCCACTAGTGCTTAAGGCTGATTTGTGTTGACCAATCTCGTTGGCTTGGGCTTAAATGAGTTGCCGGTGCCTATTAGAATTTCTAAATGTTAAGCAGCACATCAAAGCTGTTCACAATAGTCTGTGGTGTTTATGATTAAGGATTTTTTACCTTGAACAAAGGAGAGAGAAAGAAATAAAGAAGAAAGAAAAAAAACAATATAAATTTATTCTGCTAATAAAGTGCCAGAGAAAGCAAACCTCTCTTAGAATATTCTCTAGTTGCCTCAGCTTTCCATCTGTGCTGCTACTGCTATTGCTGATAGTATCTTTTAAGTCATCGACAGATTTTTCCAGGTGTCGTGTTCTACTCTCTAACTGAGACAACCTTGAACTCACGCCTTCCAAAGTATGCAGCAGATTATCAGCATATTTCTTCATGGTTCTGTCCACTTCAGTCACTGTAGCCACATCATATGCATCTTTCTCTTTCTCATGGCTCACCTTTGGCATTTCATGAGATTCCAAAATATTTGAGCACTAGAACAATGACAACAAAGAAGAAATAAGATAATACTCTGAACAAGTAACAAAACTGCAGTAAGAATAGCTTACTAGTCCCAGTAAAAAAATTAAAAAAAAAAGCACCATTATGCTCAAATAGGATGTAAATAACATAGATCAGGATGATGTATAGTCCTGCAGGTATCTTGAAGATAATATTACATATTACAAATTAATTGCTATAGTCTGATTCACTTTGAAAAAGATTTCCAAAATCAGGAAAAAGTAAATTCCATTCTAAACTACAACTTTAGCCAGTTCTATAAGAGATGCCCAGTCTGTAATTGCAAATCAATTTACATATCAGAGCCCACACGATCTGGTTTTTGCACTAGTCTAGTCATGGTCGAACACTACAAGGTCGAACACTACAATCTCAGTGTCACCCCCTAGGTCTCATACTAGACTAGTCTTGGGCGAACAGTGCATTTAAGGTGTCGCTGCCCTCACCCTTCGCTTGTAACTGGGAGATGAGGCTGACTCCAGTAATATCTGTAAGAGACCTAAAATAGCTCCGCCCTAAAAGCTAACTGTCGGTGGAAAGGAACCCAAATCTGTTATAAAACCACAATTGACTCTCATTTAGTCGATGTGGATCTGGGAGTAAGTGGACCATAAACCTGTTGGCTGTTATAAATTCACGCCAACTCCAATAATTTGGGTTATTTACAAGGATTTTCCCCCATAAAAAAACCTTTAAAATAGAGTTATTCTATAGGAACCAACTTTGATTTTCAATTATTACATAAACATCCTTTAAACAGTTTTTTGTGGCAATCAACCACCAAGACTCACTTTAAGTCAAGTTTTTTCAGTTTTGTTGCAATAATTAGCTATCAAATGCCAAGTATATTAGAGAGATGAGCCTCAATGGAGGTTAGGTGGGATCAATTAACAAAAAAAACTGAAAAATGGGCTTAGGTGGCTGATTATAGCAAAAAGCCCTTTAAAGTTGGTTTATGTAAAATTTGAAAATCAAAGGTAATTTATATAGAATGACCCTATTTTAAATGTGGTTTTTGTGGAAACCCACTATTTACAATTACTTAAATAAAGTCTAGCATGTTTGAGATATTATTGTCTAAATCAAATGAACTATAGCCACTAAATGCAGGTGCTTCTTGGTGCCTGAAATTTTACATTATATTCATGGATAAATAAGATTCCTATTATATTCCACATTCCCAACTTCCAAAGCAAGCATTGGAGTCCTCTTTATAACCTCCAGGTGCATTTTCTTAGTCTAGACGAGACAAATAGATTTGCAGCAAGCAAGGAAAATCTCCTTCAAATTGTAGATAATTCTTGATTTTTTTTCTTGAAAAAAAAACCTCGAAATATTATTAGAGGATGATATATAATGAAAATAAATAACAGGCACACATTAAATTACTACCATAATTTTTTTCCTAAGATCATGAGTCCTTAAAAAGTGTAAGAAAATCAACATGTGAATCTGAGAGCCTTAGGGCCAATTTGGTATTGCTCTTTTTTTAGACTGGTTCTGCTTATTTTTCTAAGAAGTGGTAAACAATATTGTTTGATGGAACTTATTTCGCTTACCTATTGAAAATGTCACGCCTTTTAAGAATGTGCTTTTAGAAGCAATCTGTGGAAGCTTTTAAAATCGGTTTTTGCTTTTTATAGTTATAATACCATATAGACCTTTTAGCTTTTGAAATTATTGCTCTATCTATTCTAGAACTATCTTGTCTATTTTGGTAGCTAAATTTATTTCCATATTTGTCATTTTCACTTGTAATAATCTTTACGCACAATTTTACCAAACACCTTACTAATTTTGGAAGTAGCTTATAATCTATTACCAAGCAGCAATGGCGGATCCTGAAAATTTGTTTGGGGGCGGAAAAGTATCTATTTGCCTACAAATAAAAATGTATTATTATAGAACTATAGTGCCTGATGGGAATGCACTCAGTATACTTTATCAGCTCCATTGCATCAAATTTTGCTTGATTGTTTTGGGTTTTTAGTGTTTGGGCTTTTAGCATTTCAGCCCATCTGACCAGACTGTGAGAAGTTAAATGAGCTATTAGTTTCTAATAGGTTAAATGTTGGTTATATAAGGGTTGGGGTGCAAAATGTTTAAATTTAGACGGAATAGATTGTAATTTTACAAGGGTTTAAATGCAAAACTCACATTTTTAGGGGTGTAACTGCTCCCCAAAGCACCCTATAGATCCACCGTAGCTTAGCTTCTATAAGTTGCTTCTATAAGGTGCTTATATAAGCAACTTATCATAAGCTCTAGCAGTACTAAACTGGCCCTTAACGGACTTCTATAAATATAGAAGCTTTTAACTACAAATGAACATATTACGACGCAATCTATAAGCGAAAGCTAATTTCTCTTAATTACTTGTGCAACCCCCAAAATTTATATCCACATGATCCCTTAATATAATAATAAAGATGTAAATAAACCTCTAAATCCATCATCGCTTCCAGCTGAGTTCGCACCAAAACCCTAAAAATTTCAACAGAATTCAAAAGAAAAAAACTTCTATCTATATCGGCAAGTCCATTATATAACTAAAAATAATGATCGTACTAGAGCACAGCCAATTAACATGCTAATTTCTGAAATCGGTATCTCACTCTGAGATTCGCAGAAGCGATCTTAGAATCAGCCGACCCCCAAGAATGCCTCGCGCCGCCATCAAGATTCGTGCTGCTGGTGTTATTAACGGCCGATGATGAAGATCCAACGGCTCTGATCGGTTGAAAATCATAGCTCGGGTAGATCTCCTCTTTCTTCAGCACGCCGCCCCCATTGTTATCCCCATGGCGGTCCTCCTG